GTACCTCAGCGCGGTGGCGACGACACTGAGAATTAACAGAGGATGTGCAGTGAGCAATGATCTCTTTACTCAGCAGTCTTTTAACCAAGGGTTGTAATTTTAGCTGTATGTTTGTCAACCCTACTCATGTTCCTAATGAGTTTTGATAACATTTTTCACCCAAGCGTTTGGGGGCGGGCTGATGAGAGCCACAAGGACACATCACCTCTGGGGGCCGCCAAACTCCGAGATCCCCTGACAGCTCTGTTAATGCTCATTTGAGACATTATCCGTGGCGCACGACGAGGACGTGCTGTAGGGGTCTTGCGTGAGGTTCCGTAAAACCAGGATAGTGAAGGACTGGCGCCCGAGTGACGTACGGAGTATCTCCTTATACACATCATGTTGGACTTAACTTCCCCTCACGCCTGTGACATAAATCACCGCGCCACGTTTTATGTTGTAGAATGTATTCTTGGTAATATTTGTTTTAAGTTGTAGAATGTATTCTTTGACATTCTTATCTGATATTTGATCTTGCTGCTACATTTCTGCCATCGGCTGTTAGTGCATGTCCCAGATAGAAAATCACAAATTCAAACAGTTAAGTGGCTGCTCTTTTCACTGGTGTCCACTCTACATTCTTTCAGCAGTTTGTGGCAAGATATTAAACAGGAAGATGTCCTGCCAGCTGTAAAGTGCAATGACAAGAAAGATATGAGAAAAAGTTTTTAATTCTTATGTTATCTCAGTTTCAACATATGCCAGCAGAAGTTAAAGAACGACTAAAGACATGGAATGAAAGTTGAATCCATTCAAAAGCTAATTTGTAAGGAAATTTATGAGCTGCAAATAAGATGAAGTCAAGAAAGCTGACGAAATAAGAGAACAACAACCACTCATTTCTACTGTTAAAAGACAAAAAAGGTGGTGATATACTGGCCTTATCATCAACGAGAAGTGAACAAAAAAAATATATTAGAGATAGTTGGAGAAACACTAAAGACGTGGAATGAAAGTTGAATTCATTTGAAAACAAATGTTTAAGGAAACGGATGAACATAAATAGGGTGAATTCAAAAAAGGTTTTGAAATATGAGAAATATCTTGAAATTTGCTTGTAGTGTCGAAAACAAAGGCAAAGAAAATAGGGATTTATTAGGCACAGAAGATAGTGAAATATTAGGCACATCATAATGGGCTGTAAACAGAAAATCACTAAACAGGCACTTCATTTGTAAACAAAAGGACCGAGGAGATGAGGATGCTCAAACCCCCCTATCCCCCCCCCCCCCCCCACAAAAAACCCCTGAGGTTGATGTTGATGAGAGAGTCCAAAGGTACTGGACTGGATTCTATCCATAAAATTGAAACATTTTCACAGGTTACAGAAAAGTGGGAGAATAAATTGCAAGCCCTATGTGACGCATAATGGCACATCATAATGCTGATAATGATTGTTTATTTTAAATTGTGTGCCTTGATAGATGGAATAAGCATGATGTCTCTCTGTATATCTTGTCCTTGGCTTTCTGGGTCATAATCCGTCATGCCATTCAGCATATATTTGCATGGTCTGCCTTTGTGTCTATCTAGTGCTTTTTCCAGTCCAGTAATCATGATGTTCTTCATTGACTCTTTTCTTATCATGTGAATAGAATGACCTAGAGGAAGTGAATATAGTGTTGTGGAATTATACAAGCATTATCTTAGCTTGTTCATGAATGTAAATAAGTGGCATAATGATGTGTATATATTCTAGAAGAATTGTGTCTTTCTCCTATTTGTATATTTTCATGAATATTATGACAATTTTGTCGCCATTGTTAATATGTATTTTTGAGATTTGATCATATGTTTCAGTACTGTTGCCACAAATGTTGCAAGTGCCCGGTACGTGTTGTCATATCAGGGATTTTTTGGGGGGTATTTTTTCCTCTACTAATCAAATAAGGTTTTGTTTTCACATTTAATTCTTGCAGATTGTTTTGTAATACCGGTAGAATAAATCTAATATTTGCAAAGGTAGTTTTATTTAACACTTTTTTTTTTAAATTGAATTATTTGTTAAAAAATCTAGTTGTCCTGGTTAGCCACCAAGATTTCAATGCTACATTTTTCTTTTTAAAGGCTGTGTAAAAACTTACTGTACTTGCTTAAGCACTTTATATATTTTTCTTATATTATTATTTGACTCAAATCTCAGATGATTTTTTTGCTAGATGCAGATTAAAATAGGTGTTGAAACTTGTGTCCTGAGCATTCTCCCAGTTGGCAGTGAAACCTGCACCACTTGGTGGTGATCTGATGTATGACAAGCTGGATGTTGTGAGTGCCCTTTGGGAGCGAGTGAACAGTGCTGAGGAACAGATAGATCATTACTGTCTTAGGAGAAGGGCACTGCGAGGAATTACAAGGGGATCTATCTGACACTCAACACTCAGGAGAAAGGCAAGATGGATATGCAATCAGACAGTTACTGGTACCATTGGAATTTAAACTCTTGGCTTGCTGATGAATATGGGGACAGAGCGCTTATGAGAGTTTCCAGAGTGCTGTGATGTCAATTCCTAATTCAAAACTCAACGTTCAACATCCAACTTAACCATTTTAGTTATTTCATCGTTTTGCTGATTTTTTAAATAATGTTGCTAACATTGAATATTTTTCTCTGACCACCCACCAAGTACCATTTAGTCTGTAAACATAAGGGTCTAGCAACATATGTCCAGAGTGCAACTGACAAGGTCTTTACTTACTAACACATGCAACTGTAGTGTAAAATCATTTTTACTATTTCAAATTTTTTATTTATTTGTATAATAGCATTGTTTGTTTATGCTGTATAATTAGTTTTATGTTTTGTTGGGGCTCTCTAGAAATGTTGTAGTATAAGATTCTTAAGTGTAACATTTTTTTTGCTTGTCTAACAATTGAATATTATTCTGCACTTTTATAATTTTTTAAAGGTTATTCATTCATTTTGTATGCATCCTAATATATTCTGCATCATTAAAACTTCCAGGGCAGACCCATCTCTATTAGTAGTGTCGCAATTCATTCTTAACCCTTTCGCGTGGTAAAAAAGTTAAAATATGACCTTTTCCCAAATGTTGTTAAGAAATGCATCCAAGTTCTGGATGCATTTTTAGGACATTGAAGATGCATTGGCATTGAAAGCGCATGAGGCCGGAGAGCTGGCTAGGGAAAGGGATACTTTCAGTCATGCTGTGAAGAGAGCGACGTTCTATAAAGAACTTGCTGAATAATGATGATGGAGGGGAAGAGAAGCAAAGGTTTACAAAGAGAGAAGATGCTGAAATAATTTGGCATCAAGTTGTGGAGGATCATCTATTTCAGCAATGGCTGAAAGTACTCAAGACGAAAGGCTGTAGAAAGACATGACTACCAGTGTCATATCGACCCAAAAAAAGAAGAGCCCAGGATGGCAAACAGTAATCTAAGTAGTCCAATGGCAGAGCGCTAACATTTCTTGAAGCAACCACAATTCGTTATCTCTGTTCCAGACTTTGTAAACAGAAAGACATGATCGTGACCATGTGGTGGCCATGGTAAAACAGGCAGTTGTGTTTGAATGTTTACTTCAGTTATAAAGGATTCACTTGTTTGCTTCATTTGTTTAACTGTTAGTGCAGTAAGCACCTGATGGGATATGGTGAAATTTGCCTGTGATAAATTGTTTGTGTTTCTTCATTCAAATCTGAATATTTGTAATACTGGTTTTATTTGATTACCTGTTTTTCTTCATACAGACATTTGTGTTACTGAAGTTCATGTTTATCATGTACACAATTCAGTTAATAAAAGTAAAAGACCTTTCATGCTCAATCTGACCAAGATGCTTGCTTGCTAGGCCGAAGGTATTAGGTTTGAATCTGCATTGTAGTGGATTATTTTTTTTTTTAAATGGACCTTGGATCCCAGGTTGACCCAGTCAAAAATGGGTAGATTATGTCAGGAAGTAAAAGGCAGTCAACATGGGATTTGACCACATAAATCTATTAAGTACTAACATAAAAAAGACCTTTATTTTACTTTGCCTACTTTCCAATTACCCTATTCTGTACAGACTACAGGTTCAACTCCCTCTGTCCCAAACAATGCACAGTGTGTGATCGGTTTTAGTCAGTGTGTAATAAACAACAGGCAGTATATCATTTTTTAAATTTTATTTTTATTTTTATATTTGATCTTAGCATGTTACAGAAATATGGCTAGATATGCTAAGATGTTATAATGCATCATGGTATATGTTATATATATATTGGGGGGGGGGGGGGGGCGATTGGGAAAGTAACAGGCCTAATAAATGAAATATGATCTTAACTTTTTCAGTTCCAGAACATTTAATTTTAGATATCCAAGGAGATAATAGCTACATTGGAAAAAAAAAAGTATTAACAAGAGTTAATTTCAAAGAGACACCATAACATATACCATGATGCATTATAACATCTTAGCATATCTAGCCATATTTCTGTAACATGCTAAGATCAAATATAAAAATGAAAATTTTAATTTTAAAAATGATTTACTGCCTGTTGTTTATTACACACTGACTAAAAAAAAAAAAAAAAAATATATATATATATATATATATATATATATATATATATATATATATATATATATATATATACACATATATATATATATATATATATATATATATATATATATATATATATATATATATATATATATATATATATATATATACATATATATATATATATATATATTTTTTAAACTATGTCTTTCAGTTTTTATGTTGTTTCTCTATTTTGCCTTCTGCATACACAAATGCTAGTCAGTGCTTATCAATTTATATAACATGCTTTTATCCTAGAAAGAATGGTTTGGACATAACTGGATTCTATTGTTTAACTCAGGTTAAACACAATCGGTTGCGGCTGTTTTTCTCAGATCCGGCATAACTGGTTTTTGATGTTGTTTGCTGTGGTTGGTAAAATATCACTGATTTCTCTTGTTTTTTTAAGAAACCAAGTGAGGTTGCCAAGGCTGCAGAAGAAAACATTGCCAGGGAAAAAGAATTAACTTCTCTAAGACAAGTATGTATCAGTTGTGATGGAGTTAACTTTTCTCAGATCACAATGTAGGAGAGTGGTTCAAAGAAAACAAATACAAATCTGAAATTTATCATAGAAATTATAAACACCATATTATTGTCATCTAAGTTAGAGGTTTGTGTTTCAAGAGCATCTGCAGCTGGCACCACATTCCAGACAAACCATAGAAGATGGATTGGTGAACCTAAAGACTCTCAATGAATAGCCAGGATTACCTTTCCCCCACAGTGTTTAACAGCAAAAGTAGAAATTGATGATGATTATGATGTCGATGATGATAATGATTAATAGACGATAGATAAATGCAGATCATAAGACACACTAGACAATTGACAGCAGGAAAACTGAATTTATTTGCCTCTGGAATTTCGCAAATGAAATTTCAATTATCTAGAAAGCATATTTACATAAGACAGTAGATTTGACAGGGACATTCAAGCTAGAGTAACCTATCAGCTAGCCGCCTGCTTTGAAATATCTCTCCTTCAGCAAAACAGCAGATGATTTATAGCAGCTTCATCTCTACCGTAGACTATCAGTGTCAAACATGGGCAATAAATAGGGCACTAGAAAAAAAAAATAACTAGAGAGAAAGTTGGCATAAGACTGAGTCTGAATTATATTGACAGACTGTCTCGGGTCCCAAAGTGGGTAGATGCTTTTGTGATGAGTAGGAATTTTCTTCTCAACACTTCACCTCCACCAGAGAAACTGGACTATTATCTGAGCTATGTTGATCTCAGACTAATTCCTGGATATCCAAGAAAACACCATATTTGGCTCATTATGTAATTTAACAGCAGCTGCACTTGGTACCCACAGGAGAAGGAAAGGGGTTTTAGATGTCTAGATTAATTTAAGTAATGAATTGTTAGACAGGGCAGGTGACCCCTCCCGACCACCTCCTCCAGGTAAAAAATTATTAAAGAGCTCCCACCAAATGTAATTTTATCTAACAGTTTAGTTAAACAGGTAAGACTGAATACACTTGGAATTTAACAAATAATGTAGTATAAAACTTGACATACAGCTTTATTTACTAACAATCATTTAGATGACATTCACCAGTTTGCAATGTTTACACAAACAGTGACTGGCTGATGGTAGATAGTGATGAGATGCTTCAGCTAGAAAACCGAGCACCTGAGATTAGAAAAGTTATGATGATGATAAGTTTATGAACAAGGTGTTGACCTAACTTAGTGATAAGGCAAGATAAAACCTCTGACAGCCGTGAGGCACTGTCAAGCTTTTCCACCTCTTCCAGCTTCTTCCCAGCTTGTTTCACCTTCTTCTCCGCCTCTTCCCAGCTGGCTGATTTCCCATACACTGTAGGTTTGTGCACTTGACACTCTGGTTCTGCTATCAGAGCTGACTGGTCTGCACCCCGACGGGAGCTGGGAACATTCCAGCAATTTGCCAAACAGGACTCAAACAGCTAGAATGACTTTCTACAATTGACTGAGTTTGTGGCTTGCTGGCAGCACTATGAAGTAAATTTAAGATGCTAGCAGTATAATTACTTATCTATCTGCAAAGTTAAACCCCTCCCCTTTTCTAGTTTCTAACCTACCCTACAGGAGAGGGTCTAGGCCATGCCCATGAGGTACCTTGTAAATCAAATTAACTATCAATGTGCCTGTCAGTTAATTCTTACTGACATCCCTCTGATCAAACATTCTTAAGTGGTAAACATCTAGTCCCAGACCGTGTCACTGACAGGTGTGAAAAGACGATCAGGAAAGCCATTGTGTTTCCTACTTGACCAAGTTAATTTCCCTGATCTTATCTGTTGAAAGGGCCCAATCTGGCCAGTTATGTAACCATTTTATGACTCTGGGGTCTGCAGTTCAAGGAAGATAATCTCACAGGGGTTAATTAGTTTTATGAGCAGTTGCATGCCCCTAAGGGTCTCTGGTTAGGAGATAATTATATCACACATCAGTTCTACAATCAAACCCTACAGCCACTATGTCTGAACTTTCCCAGGTAGACAAGCTGGCTATATTAGGTAATGTTATGTAATATTAACCAAAGCTTGGTTGCTTTGTCTGGACTAAGAACTGGAAACAATTTTAACAATTTTTAAATCCCATGTAGTTTTAGTAATATTTGGTAAATATAATTCTCTGTCTCTCTATAACCAGAAGAAATTTATACACTTACTAACTTCTGAAAACACTTAGTTCGTTTTGTCACACAGACAATGAATAAAATAATTTGACCATCTTGTGAAAATGCAGTCAAACCAAACTGTAAATAAGATCTTTCACATCAGAACATATAAAAGGAAGGCTTGGGGAAGATCAAGGAAGAGTTGGATAGATAGTGTAGCTGAAACCTGCTAAAGATAAACAAATTCCATCACCCAAGCTACCCCAGAAACGCAAGTAAGCACAGAAAACCATGGCACTGGGCTACAACCTAGCATCAGTAAGATGATAAAAGAGGGAAAAGAAGAAGGTTTTGATCTGTGATCTCCAAGTAATACCAGCACTTTACCACAGGGATGTGTATACTTTTCTTAAAGGGTATCAACACTAACCAGGTGATCTATCTAAACCCATAGCCATAGACTCTGGTCATCCCACCCTTCCATCCTGGTTCACAGTTTTTGGGAGAAAAAAATAGACGTATTTCCCCTCGACCAGCATGTCACATGCCATACAAGGCGACTGATTATTGGTTTGTTAAAAAATCAGTGCATTGGGCTGAAATATGAATGTATCACAGAATAGTTGTAAACCATAATACAACGTGTCTACCACCCTTCAGAGAGTAAATGTAGATTATGAAGAAAAAGAATATTGACAAACTTTGTTCCCAGACTTGTTCAAAACATTAAAAGTCTCTGAAATGTCTGTTAACCAATTACTCACCAAATAACAAGCACATACAAAAGTTGAACTGTTTACTTGCTCATGTAAAGCTTATAAGCTCTCACAGAAGAGATATGACTGGCTGGTTATTTTCATTGTGTTTTACTACATGAATGTTGAATTAAGAATCAACATCACAGCAAAGGCAGTCTGGACACTCCTGAGGACGCTCTAGTGCTCAGTCCCCAATATAGACAGCAGCAAAGCAATGTTACATTTCGAGTAGCCGGTCCCCTTTCATTCTTAATTCAGATTGGTACCAGATAACTGTCTGATTGTATATCTGGATGTACGAGCGAGCTTTGGTTGATCTCATCCTTATGCCATTGCTGAGTGTTGGAACTGATAGAGTCGGCCAGATCCCCTGGTAACTCCTCACAGCGCAATGTTTTTTTAGACTGTAATGATCTGTCTGTGCCTCTGCACTGCTTACTTGCTCCCAAAGGGCCCTCACAACATCTGACTTATTGTGTTTTATTACTTGCACATAGATATTAAAGAATGGAAAATCCTCGAGACCTTAAAACAACCACAGAACTTAAAAAAAAATGGGCACCATTAAACCAGAAAATCTGTTTAACTTTAATTGTTCATAGTATAATAGTGAGATTTTTTCATCAGAGAATTGGAGTGGCTTAACAAATGAAAGGCATACATCTCTAGCTTGAATACTCATACTTAGATACAGTTTTGAAGAATATTCTTCAAAGTAGCAGTCCTCTGCCCGCCCTGAGTAATAGGATTCAAATATGCAAATTCCTGAGTAGGTTTCAGGGCCCCATTATTGGGTGGTGGGGGAAGACCCACTCTTCCTACCCCCCCCCCCCCCCCCCCCCACAGGTGTGTTATAAAAGGCAACTAGTTTGGGGTATTTCTTTCAAAGACTTAGTGCATCTGCCTGTGAGGCTAAGACAGATATGTAAAATGGATGTGCATACAAAACTCAAAAGTTCTGGATAAAAGTCCAGCTAAATTTCACCATCATTATTCATTTACAGGCTACCAACAATAAGATTTGGAATTATTTATTTTAATTTTAAATTGTGTTGAAGTATTTAAATTAACTGAATATGCAGCAGACAAAATTAATATGCAAGTAAAAAATTGGCAAAATGTATGTTGCACTTACAAAATAATCACCAGTGTTCAACAGATCAAAAAAATATCAACTGCTGGAGTTTACAGCTAGTGGATGCTAAGAAGAAAAAGAAGAAATCTGCATCAAGGCAGATTATCTGTCAAAACTGACAGGTTGGCCCAGCCTAAATTAGGTCACAGGTAATGTCCTGGGAGGTAATGACTGCTGGTGTTATGTTGCCCACATCACAAGAGTGCCAGCTGGTCTGTACACATTTGAGAATGGTATCATATACCTGATAAGCTACTAGCATAAAAGGGATCTTTAGTTTTTTTTTTTAATATTTAAATTTTACATTTTAATGTTGTCACAAAAACCTGATATTTTGTTCGATACTAGGCTAAACCATGTTGTGTATATTTCTTTTGTTTGCGTCCTTGTAGAAATTTAAAATAGCAGAAAATAAACTCCAAGAGCAGCTGGACATTATCTCAGGTCTGCGAGGAGAGTTGGACAAATCAAAGTCTGAGTTACTTTATGAGAGGGAACTTCAGCGTAAACTTATCAGTGACCTTGACAGTGTCAAAGTTCAACTCCAGGATGTTCAGAGGTCAGAGAGGGTTGTCAGAGTTGACCTCGAACAAATGCAGAAGAGAGTGAGTTTATTACCTGTATTAAATATGTTACAGTTATGAGCATAAAGTTAATAATAGTTACAAGGCTTTCTCCCTTTGTATGTTTTGGAACACCACTGGGGAAAAATGTAGACTCATTTAAAGTGACCATTCTTTCCTGGATATTTTTGAGGACAGCTATTTGAGAGTAAAATCAGCTCTTATGGATATTTGGGGGGTCAACTACTCAAGAGTATAATGGGGTCTTAAAAATAATAACTGACATAAGATCTGATTCTTGGACTATACCAAACAATCTGGGATGAATAGTCACCTTAGACCAGCAGTTCTCAACCTGTGGGTCACAACCCTTTTTTTGGGGGGAGAGGGGGGAGGGGGGGGGGGCGAATGACCTTTTCACAAGGGTCGCCAAAGACCATTGAAGTTATGAAGTAGCAAACAAAATAATTGTATGATTGGGGGTCACCACAACATGAAGATCTGTATAAAAGGGTCGCTGCATTCGGAAGGTTGAAAGCCACTGCCTTCGACCCACTGGCCCCTAACAAATATGTGTTAGCTAAATATCCTTCGCCGGACATTGCACAACCAAACCCAGCAATTTTTGACTATTTAGTTTTACTAGGCAATTTTACATTCAGGGGCTGCGTGGTCTCAAGGCATGGTTTCCGCCTTGACTGCTAGATGTTCCAGGTTCAATCCTCAGTAAGGGTTGGGATTTTTTAAACGAAGACCTGGACTTCTAGTAATTACCCCCTTGTCTCTGGGTTGTGAGATCGGATGCCAGTGTGCATTATTGTGCACGTAAAAAAAACCTTGGCAGTTGGAACTTGAAAAGAGTAGCCTAATGGCAGCTGCATTGCCTGGACCAAATTTGGAGTTGAAAATCTACCCAAAGTATTTCAGGATCCTTCCCAGTGCTACAAAACCTGTGCACTGTGCTGAGCTTTTTTTGGACTCAGACTTGAGTTAGAAAAAGATTGGAGCACTAATGGGTTACTACCCGTGTGCCATGATATTGATCTATTGTTCATACTCTACTGGACAGCAGAACAGTTGCAGGCAAGCAAGCAGTATTAACAAGAAGACAATATAACAACAAGAAAAGGACAAAGAGCATGATCCAAAGCAATACACACAGAACCAGCAGCTTACTTTCATTGCAGATACGGTATTAGATTGATTGATTATGAACATCACATTTTTGTCTACACACACGCACTGTAATGGTTTCTTCTGATGTTATTTTCTGTCCAGAATGAAAGACTTAGGTCCAGAGTTATCCAGCTAACATTTTCAAGCCCTGCTGTCAAGGCCCCAGACAAAGAGATATCTGACGATGAACTCATTGACAGTCTGAAGAAGCTGGTTGATGACAGAGCCAAGCTGTTGAATCGAATTGAAGAGTTGGAGTCAAGTGTCACAGCTGCTAAGTCTGGAAAGGAAGAGCTATTGAGTGATGCCAAAAAATTGAGAGAGGCTCTTGAATCTAGCGCTGTAAGTGTCACTGCCATGTAGTTAAATGAAGGAATTGTTGAGCAATCATGAACTTAGAAGACAGTGAACAGTATGAGAACTGTACAGAAAACAGAACGTGTATCATATTTGTCAATTTAACACATTATATGCAAGACACTTGTCACCAGTACACAATATAGACATTGTAAACAACATACACATGTGTATGTGCCATCTTTATACATTATATAAGTTAGTTGCATGTGCTCTTGAAGGATGTCATTACCTGCGCTATCTCTCTCTCTCTTTCTCTCTCTTTCTCTCTTTCTCTCACTCTCTCTCTCTCTCTCTCTCTCTTTCTTTCTCTGTCTGTCTCTCTCTTTCTTTCTCTCTCTCTCACATACACACACACACACACAGCACACACATAAAGAACACACACACAAGCACACACATAAAGCATACACACACACACACACACACACAAGCACGCGCCACATGTACACAAACACACAACCTGTGACTCTCTAGGCTTGTGAAGATGTATTGATGGAAGCACTAGCACACAACCTGTGACTCTCTAGGCTTGTGGAGATGTATTGATGGAAGCACTAGCACACAGCCTGTGACTCTCTAGGCTTGTGGAGATGTATTGATGGAAGCACTAGCACACAACCTGTGACTCTCTAGGCTTGTGGAGATGTATTGATGGAAGCACTAGCACACAAAACCCATCTTTCTGTCTTCTGCTTGTTGAACAGGTATAATTTAGACTTGTCAATTTGTTGTTGTTGTCATAATAAATTTTGCTTGTCTGTCCTCTTCTTCTATAGCCTACCCCGCCCCCTAAACCCCTATCCCCCCCTCCCTTCCATGTTTCTTATGCAATTAAATCATGTTTCACAACATGCCTGAACCAAACTTGCTAAAAAAGGCTCCTAATCTCCTGCACATTTTGTTTATTTTGTCTCTTACATATTTGTTAGTTCTATATTACTAATTTGTAAAATTTGTCAATAGCAATAACTGGCTGTTGTGTAGGTTTACTGGGCAGTTCTACATCAATTAGTTTGCCATTGATTTCTTAATGGTACGCCACTCAAAGCATTGTGAAATCAGCAGATCCTGCTAACAGATCTCCTGCAGCTGCCTCAAAGCTTTCATTGGTTGGGATTGTGTGGCTGCACTCACAGCCCTTAAGCTGCTGATTGCTCACTGTCAACAGCATTTGCAACAGGTGCAGCCAGATGATCTTGTGGCTTCACTACTCAAATAAAGAATTGAGACATAGTTACTGGAAATTGTTATGTGAGAACACTCATGCATGCAGTTCAACTAGAACACATTGAAAGGGGGAAAAAAAAGAATGAATCTGAGCCTCTTATGATTATGTAAAACAAGACATATTTATATTGTAATAATAGTATTATATTATTGTTATTATAATAATATCATAAAGTCTCTTCCCTGATGGCAGACAGAATAGTTGATTAAAGCAAAAATGTGTACAAACGACTCAACATAGCCTTAGCACAGTGTAAAAACAGGGAAACAACTGTATTGCTAGGTGATTTTAATGCGAAGGCTGAGCAAGAAAAGGATGAAAACATTACAGCATGATATGGTCTTAGAGAGGGCAAGAGAGAGGAGAAAAACATGTTGAATGAGCTAGGTCATATAAATAAAATTAAATTGAAACATGCTCTAAACAACAACCTAGACTTCAATTGAGAAGAGTTTGGAAGCAACTAAGATGTGGTTTCTTAAGAAGAGTGTTGCGAATACCTTGGGCTGCCAGAATAACTAACAGTGATTGCCAGGAAATGGCTAATTAAAGTAGAACATTATATACAACCATGAGAAGAAGACAAACAAAGTTCTGTGGTCATGTGATGAAAAAAGGAGCACTGGAAAATCACAGGCAGAAGATGCAGATGCAGACCAAGAGAAATGATGGTGATGGCTTAAGACAGTGGCAAGAAGGAATATCATCAGTTGAATTTATCCAAAACACCAGTGACCGAGATCTGTAGAGATGCATAAACGCCTACACCAGCTGGCGAGGCACTTGATGATGATGATGATCCTAGACTTGGAAAAGCCCTGGAAATAATTGTAAGAACCAGAATGATTACAACCGATGTAGAAGTGGTGTCTTTTGTCAGTAATAAACAAGACCAAGTCCAGACTGTAATTTAGTTCCCAAGCTCTCACAATTGTTTGTGTAATTGCATTTATATAAATCATTCAAAGATGTTTTGTATTTATAACAATGTAGTAGTTTATATCATATCTGTATTATTTCAGAAACGACTGAAAGCAAATGGACGCCTCAGTGGTTTGCTGAAGGAGGAAATTATATTGGTTCGGTCTCTGTGTGCAGATGAGGACTTGACCTGGATACGAGAACTCTTCTCTGAGGTTCTGGCAGCAGAACTCGACTGGGAGAACTTGATTGAACAGTCTTTGGAGAAATGTGGTGTCAAGGTTGCAATCTCAAATGATAGTAAGTGAGCTGGTGTATGCATAACCTGTGCCTGTGAATGTCTGTGAACATGTGTGTCTGCAGATGCATAAACACATAGACACATCAGTGTAGATTTACAGTCAGTGTAGATTTATGTGTGCACGCACATATGCACAGACACACACACACACACACACACACACACTCACAGGCATATGCTCACACTCTCGCAGGGCTTTTAAAAAAATGATATTGGCTACCAGGAAGACCCAGTCTTGGCTCCCAGGTAAAGTCCTGGAAGTAAAAGAGATTGGTATGATGCTGACTACATCAGCCACCAAGTACTGATTGGTCTGAAAATTATGTCATCTGCCCAATATTCCAGAAGTTGTGGAAAAGGGCCCTTTTACAATATACCAGAGATGCCCAAGGGTGTGGAAAAGAGTCTTTCTTGAAATGATGTAACATGTTATACAAAAGTGAAACCATTTAGGAATTAACAAATAAGTTCTGTGAATAGCTTATGGACATCCACGAAAAGGTCCCAGATGAGTTGCTTTCTATGATAACAGCTCTGGCCATAAAAGTAACACTTAGATTTTTGTCATTACAGTTACATTCTACTGTGGCAATCACACCAGCCATCTTTTCTAAAAAAATCACCTCATTCACATTGTACGAACTGTTAGCCCAGAAGGGATCAGTGTTGAGCATTTTTTCATTAACATAGACAAGTAATCTTTTTTTTTTAATTTAAAAAAAAAATTGTTTTGTTTGTTCCTTTATTTTGTTTCTTAACTCTTTGAGTCCCAGGGGGTTTAGCATCAGAGGCCCAAGGGGTAGTCAAAAGAGATGTAAAATCGGCGCATCTTGCGTTCATTGGGCCTCTAGGCGGGAACCTATGAACGTATGATACGCTCCTTGGGACTCAAAGAGTTAACAACACTTCTTATTCCTCTTTTTTGTACATTTCCATTCCTTCTAGTAAAAAGATAAACTATGTTATTAATATAAATCCTGAAGGATTCTTGTTGTTTCATTAAACTAATAAAGACTGGTTTAAACATATCTTTGTTTGTATCTGAAAAATGTCTTTCTTCACATTTTAGAAGAACAATAGTTTATTGTTGTATACAAATGTTATCTGTTAGGATCAGCTGCACTGTCATATACACAGCATAAACACACTTCTGATGTGTATTTTTTTTCTGTCCCAGACATATGTTTTTGTAAATGCTTTTAGCCTCAATATTTATTTTGTTACTGGTAAGTAATAACCATTTTGGTCTGAAGAAGCTAACTTGGAGCTACTATTAAGCTGTAAGTGTAAACGAAGACACTGACAGCGAGTGGAGTAATATTTCAGCTTGATGCAATAGGTTTTCTTTTTATTCTGTGTTTACCCTCAAAAAAGCAGTTGGCACATTGTGTTGCAGTCTACAGGTAGGCTGTGTTATCTGCAACTTTCAGCCCAACCTGTTAAATGTCAGCGAATCCTTAACCAGCAGCTTTTATGACATGCTTATAACGGAGCGGTGTTTTTTTGTTGTTTTTTTTTTTAGCATTCACAAAAAGGAGGTTGTGGAATCCACACTGGGTAATACACTAGGTGATGAAGAGCACATTATATTATGTCTGGAAGAACTGATGAACATGTGATGTGTTGTTTGGTACTAAATTAGTAAGTTAAGGAACAAGACCTAAAAGTAAGTAGAGAGGCAATACTAGCTCCATATAGAGAACATGTAACAAGTGAACACATAAAGATGCAATTAAATCAGTGTATATATATTAAAAAAAAAAAAATGTCTTGATCGACACTCTTAGAAGGAAGTAGAAAGAGAGAAGGACATACTAGGTCACATAAAATCATATTAACCAAATATTTGTTGAATAACAAACTCAACAACAATTAGAAACATATCAGAATAAAATTCCATGGCTGTAACCTTTGGTGCTATTTTGATGATTTTAGATGAATTCTGTCCAGCCTCTATAGCTGCGTGTTCAAGCTGTATGATAGGTATGGCTAATGAAGATACCTTTTTTTTATTGCTGTCTAGCTGGTCATGCATCTTAATACACTTGTCCTGCTGTGAGGTGCTGTCATTATTTAGGAGTGATTAGTTAGTTTCCTGGCATAGTCACTAAAGTTTTGCGATTTTTATGTTGTCCTTCTATATTCCTGCTTCTTTCTATTAGTGCCAGTCAATATATAATGACCGCAAAATATCCTTTTGAGCCACAGTCACGTCAGGAGATGCGGAAGCTGCTGCTCGTGGGTCCTAGCCATCTAGTTTAGCCCCAATCCACGTGAGCGGAGTAGGGGACTCGTGGCGGTGGCGGTAGTCGCTTGAAAACCACCAGAGAACCGCAATTGACACGTGACTGTGGCTCAAAAGGATATTTTGCGGCAGCCATCTTTAGTGCCCGAAGTTTGGAGGATAGCCTATATTTTTTTAATTTGTTATAGATACTGTTTCTATGGCTGTAAGGGGTCTCTATCTGCCTATTTCTATTTAAAAAAAAAAAAAACATGTTGAAAATGTTTGGCACTATGTTTCTGAATAGAAGTGACTGAGTATAACGCTGAGCTATTATATGGGAGACCTGGTTTCTGTCCCCAGTAGGAACCAGAGATTTGTTTATGCCCAGCTAAAATAACATTCCTAACATGCTCAGTTCATAATGATTGCACTAGCCATGCAGCCTTAAACCTTTGACCATATGAATGCTTAAAAAAAAAAAAAAAAAAAAAAATGGGGCATGAATCAGAAAGATTTCTAAAAAAAAAAAAAATATGTTCACAGGTGAATAATAAATTTTAAAATGTGTTGTTAAAATATATAAAGATATATAAAGGGGTCATCATAAAAAAAAACATGAAGTCTATCATTTAAAATGTATTGGTGACTCATGCTGTGACCCCTGACCTCTGTCACTGAGGCTGCTTACAGGAAAACTTGACATCACTTTAAATAAAAACAAAACAAAAAACAATTGTCATAAGGAAACTGTTTAAATACTATTTTTAAATTTTATTTTTATTTTCTGGCACAGAAAACTCTGCACCGGATCACATAGGACCAATGGAATTTAATTACACTTTTCAGTCACTGCAGACATGATATTTACATTCCTGTCAGAACTGGAAATGACTAAATGTCGCCATCTGTGAGAAACTGTGTTAAATCCACCCCCCTTCCCCCTTTCTGCACCTTGCCCCCAAGCCCACCGATCACACACAATCCTAAAAGTGGTGAATGCAGGTGGAAAAGAGAGCTCCTCTATAGCTTTATGTGTACTCATGCAGATCCAGGACAACACATTCAGATGCTGTTCTCCAAATGGGAGTTGTCCTTGGCAGAGGTTGAAAGACTGCAGACACAGATCAAACTACTGGAGAAGGAGCACAAAGCTGAACTTGAGTTGAAACTGAGTGCACTGACAACTGAAATGGAAAACAGAATACAAGATGCTGTAGAGAAAACAAAGCTTAAAGGTAATGTTACTTGAGATGCCTGTTTCATTCAATGATTTTGTAGTTAATAATGTTTTGACAGAGTAAAAACAATAGTCACTCACACAGACAATCAGTCAGGTAGTTAATTAGGTAAATAATCATTCAGTCAAATATTCACTCATTGAGACACTCAGTGAGATAGTCATTTAGTCAGACAGTCAAAATAATAAATTATTCACACTCTTTCAGCCACATAGATGTTTTACACAGTGGTTAAGCCAGACGATAATTTTATAACAGCCATTCGACAAACAAATCAGTTAGTCATTCAGCCAGATAGTGATAAAATGACACAGTTAATCAGCAAAAGAGTTAACCAGCTAGACAGTAATTGTAAACAATGTATGCTGAATGAGCCACTTTTCTGGCCAAAATACTAGAATGCAAAAAGGATTGCATTCTAAATTCAACCTGTATTTTTTTTTAGGCATCATCTTTTTTTTTTGTAGCTCTGCTGTAATAGGCACTTTTTAGAGAGCACTGGCACCTTTTTAAAGACACTTTTTTGGTAAGTACCAATACCCCCTCCCCCGCCCACACACACACACACACAAAAGAACAAAAAAAAAAAAAAACCACAAGATAAATGATATCATGAACCCTTTACTTTTGTTCCATGAACCTCCAGAGATTCACAAACACCCAGAGATTTACAGACTCCCTGAGGTCCACAGACTCCCTGAGGTCCACAGACTCCCCGAGGTCCACAGACTCTCTGGGGTCCAAAGACCATCAAATAGGAAACACTGATAGCTATAGTTGTCAAGTTGTTGAAGTGACACACAAAGACTAAAATCTCTGTGCTTGTTTCTAGGTGATCAGGACCTCAATGCTGCTATTGATGAGATCAGAGCAACAGAGAAGGCAAAAAGGAAGAGCCGCATAGAAGCTGAGAAAAGGAAAACTGCAGAGGCTGAAGCTTTGTTAGAACAGATGAGAAAGGTAGGTTCACTGGCAACAGGACAGTGTGTGGTTAAAGGTTGTGTGTGAACAAGCAAGTACAGGTTGCTGTTGTGATTATGTGTCCATGTTTAGGAAACCTGGCCTGGTAATGACAAAATGAGGGATCTAAATGTTAACACATACTATGTGAGGGGTCTGAATGTTTAAACATACCATGTGAATGGTCTAAATGTTAACACATAGCATGTGAGGGATCTAAATGTTAACACACACCATGTGAGGGGTCTAAATGTTAACTCATAGTACATGAGGGATGTTAACAAATTCCTTGTGAGGGATCTAAATGTTAACACATACAATGTGGGAAATCTACATATGAATGCATGCTACATGAAGAATTTCAATGTTAACACACTGTGAGAGATCTAAATGTTAAAACACACAATGGAGATCATCTTTATCTTAACTCATAATATGGGAGGGATCTAAATGTTAACACATACTACATAAAGGTTCTTAGTGGTTGCACATATTGTGGGAGGAATCTTGATGTTAACACATAATATGGGAAGAGAAGGAGTCTTACAGTTAACACAAAATATGAAAGGGGTCTCAGTGAATTTTTTGGACAATTTTATGAGTGTCATATCTCTGCCTTTTCTGCCACCAGGTCTGTATGAGAAAGGAGTAGTTGGGGTCAGGGATCAGCACCCATACCTTGTTAAAATAACTTTGCTACAAATGAAGCAAGACAGGCACTAAAATTAGAAACAAATGAATTTAGGAAACAAGGATGTTCAAGAGACATGTTGATGAGAGAGTCTAGATGTGCTGAACTGGATCATCTAAGACAATGTTCCTTAACCTTTAAAAAAAAAAAACTTTTTAGCGGCCTACCAGTACAGGGAAAGTTGTTTTGCAGCCCACCTGACTGCTAACCAGCTGAACAGACACAAAAATAAAAACAATAGGAATAAACTCACAGGGAGCAAGTACAGCGGGGATCTACCAGTCTTCAGTAGAAATTATCCTCGTCGACACACGTTTCGGCCCACGATTCCTAGACGTATTCAGAGGTGGGCCCTCCTGAGTTCATGACGCTCAGGGCTGGTTCCCCGCTGCACGGAATTAACGGATGGTGTTTTACTTTCGGCCAGAGACAAGACGACTTGGTGGTTTCGCAGAAGGTACTGTGAGATAAGAAGCCGCCGCGGCAGCTTAATTAAAGCAGTCAGCATGCCTGGACGACCGAGCGACAAGCTTACTTTGGTTTACCGGACACATGTTGGACTTTTATTAGCAGTTGGCAGAGGAACACTGGCAGACAATTCGGACACGATGGACTTTCAAAGGGATGAGAAACTCTTTTCCACTAGACACCCGGGCCAGCTCACCGAGGCCCGTCCCCTACGTTGTTGCACTGCGTCCAAAGCCAGCTAGAGGCCCTTTCGGCCACCTCTCCCAGTTTTTTGAGTGTTCGTTTCCGTTCATTACCGCGCAATCCTAGTTCTTTCACCACATTGTAGAGCGAAGTGGAAACGAGGCCTCTCGCTCCCACTTCGATGGCAAATACCCGTACTGTGTAAGCCTCGTTTCTCCTCAAACCGGCTGCTAAATCACTGTACTTCTCGAGCTTGTAGAAATGATTCTCCTCCATCCGCGACTCAAACGGGACAGTCAACTCAATCAGGATGAGCTGCCGTTTTTGCGCAGAATGGAGAACGATGTCCGGTCGCAGGCCGGTTTTACGGATCAACTCGGGGTACCGTTCATGGCCTGGCAGATCAACCGCCAGTAACCAGTCCCTCGCAGAGTCTAGCACAGATGGAGCGAATGCGTTTTGGTTGACCTTACCTTTGGGAACCTGCCCAGCCTTGAGGAAACGAATGGGGACGATACTAGAACTGGCTCTGGCATTAGCCCTCATCCTAGCCTGGTCAACAACGGCTGCTAACTCTTTTAGCACCTTGTTGTGTCTCTAGGTATATCGGCCTTGACCTAGAGCTTTCCTGCACGCGGACAGGACGTGCTCAAGAGTTTGCTTCGATTTGCACAACGGGCAAGTCGGATCGTTGGTCGCAGACCACTTAACCATATTAACACCGGACGGTAATACATCGTACGCCGAACGAACGATAAAGCTCAGTCGCAGCGGGGTCATCCGCCAGATCTCACCCCATGTGAGTACTCTTGGCAATGCGCTCTCCAGGCTGACCCAATGGCCCTGCTGCGACTGTTGGGCTGCTTTCTGGACCCGAACCTCGTTTTCGTTGTCCCTCACCGTTTGTATTACCATGTCTCGGCGCTCCTTGGCAGAAGCCTTCGACCACCAATTGACCTTCCCGTGCCCTAGGCCTCGACGGTCGGTTTGTGTGTAACCCATTATCTCCTTCAATTTTAGTGCGTTCTGAGCAGATTCTATAGCATCGAGGACTCTCCATTTGGTTCCAGTCTTTAGAGCGGGCTGGACAGCGGTGACATTTGGGTCTGAAGACTCGCGCAAAAGCATGGCGAGTCTTACCTTGCCGACTTTAAACTCTTCAGTTATCGATTTGAACCGAAGTACCAGCAAACATAGATTGCATGTCAAAAAATGACACTTTTCTGCAGAAGCAGTATCTTGTGATTCACACATTTGAGGTGTAATTCTGCAGACTACAAACCTTGAAGAGATTACCTACCCATTCCCCCCCCCCCCCCCCAAACCCCTAATCACATAATTAGACAGACATTTTTGGTGGCCCACCTGCTGGACTTTACCACAGCCACTGGTTGAAGAACACTGATGTACAATATTGAAAGGATTGCACAGGATAGAATGAAATCAAAGAATAGACTGCAAGCCCATTTGATTTTTTAATGACACAGTAGGATTGTGGTGGTGGTGATGATGATGATGGTTATGATTTATGGCGATGATGTAGATGAGTGTAATATGGTTCTAAATGCAATTCTAAACTTCTGAACATAAAGTTGCCTAGTAAAAGCATACAGCAGGCATTTACTACAAGACTGCTTTGGGACAACGTGAAAATGACAAGCAACTAACTTTAAAAAATAATTTTTCAAACCAAGAAAACTCAAGTAAAGTAAACAATGATGTACAAATGAAAAGAAGAACAAGTTGCCTTATTATCAGAAACAAGATAATTATGAGTACACAACACAATAAGTTAAAGGTAAGGGAATAAAAAAAAAAAAAAACAAGATATTGGAATCAATTTTGTTGTTGATGATGATCTGTATCATCAGTCATTAGAGGAACACCAGCAGGAAACTAAAGCCAAAGTGGAAGAGGCAGCTGGAGCTGTGCAGGAGATGGAGACCATGAGGATTGCTGAGAACATTCTCAAGGAGCAGTTGAGCAAGTTGCAGCAGCAGTTGGTAAATCAGACAGTTGAGGTAATGTCATGTTGTTGGTCTTAATCAGTGAAGTCTCAATGAAATATGTCATTTGTCTCCTCCTCCTAGTTCCCCTCATCCTCCTCCTGCCCATCCTCTTCTTCTTCGTCTTCTTTATGATACACCTTCATTTGTTAGCCTGAAAAGTCTGCCTTCATGTGGCTTCGAACCCAAGGTACAAGATTAGACAAATTTGCAGTCCCACTAAATCACCACTATATGCCAAGCTGTATGCAACTAAAGAGAAAATCTAGACTTAAGCAAGTTTGTCATGAAAACTCAATGATGGTACAATCATTAATGAGGGTCTATGTGGTGAAGTGGTCAAGCCATTTGCCTTGCACTCTGAAAATCATGGGTTTATTTCAAGGACGAATCATTCAGTTCACTGTTGCAGTTTTTTTTTTAAATGAATACCCCTGATCATCAAGATGGGAGCTACAGAGCTCATGCTTTGTGTAATATTCTCAGTTGGTGGCTATCCATTTTGCAGAGAGAGACTGAGCCATGTGGGATAATCTGGGGCTACAAATTTGATTCTCTTTACTCTAATATTACTCTTTACAGACCAGACGCCATTTTAGCAGCTTTTGAATCCATCACATTCAGACCATAGTAACTATTATGGCTATTCATAGAGACACACTAATATTGTATTTTTTGCTAGGAAAACGAATTTTTATGAACATGTTTTAAACAAAAAATAGAATGAGCTAAATGAAGTTTTGTTTTCGAAGTTCGGCATGATCATTGGATACATTTCTGATTTGTTTTAAATTTATTGAATGTGATATAATTTTTGTGTGATTTTTCCAGACTAAATGTTAGGGGAAAAGGCTTAGAACTATTCTTACTGCACTGTAGTTGATGAGAATCTCAGCCAGATATTGACAATAGTCTCGATATTATGACTAATAATGCAAGTGACAAACCTGTTGCCGATAATATAGGTTCAACACAATATTTCAATCAAATCATCTCTGTTTCGATCAGCTGTTTTTCAAGTTTCAGTTGTGAAATTTGATATGCCATACAAAAGTTTAGATTTATTATGCATTCATTTCTCTTTAATTTGATGTTTTATATGTCTGTGTACAGCCAATACTTGTTTCTTCAGAGAGGTTTTAGCTTTGTCATGTTGCAGTAAACAAAATTGAGCTCAAAATTAATGCTGTCCGAGCCCCATAAATAATTTCATCCTGAAAGAGTGAATCATTAGGGAAGCAATCATCATTATCAGTCAGCTGGTCCTTTAGAGAACAGCCCTCTTAACAAAAATCCAACCATGAGGCAGAAGGACGTACAATAACATCATGAATTAACATAACAAAATAATAAACCAGAATCTATTCAGAAATGTGTGCCATGTATTGAGTCAACAATAAATGCACTATAAGAATATTGGTTCTAAAATGATTAAACTCTTCAATTGCTTTCCTCACCAGTTTACTTCTACAAAGGAAGAGATGATGAACAAGTTCAAAACTGAGCAAGCTTCATATGAGGAACAAATAAAACAACATTCAGTAACTATATGCACCATGGAGGACAAGCTGAGTAAACTCCTGAAAGAGAAAAAGAGCATTAGTGATCAGCTCTCTAGTCAGTGAATCAATCTGTTTTGTGTTGTTGTTACAAATATGCATGTAGCAGTTTTAATTCCCTTAACTAATATTCTTTTGTTTCTAAATTAATTTGATATTTTTTATTGTAAGTTAAAAATAAAATATAGTAAAGTAAAGGACCCCTTTCCACGCATTTAGGCCTATAGGGCACATAAGGCTAGACCTATATTTGTAGACCAGTCGGCACAAGATAGGTGATGTGGTCAGCATCATGCCAGCTGCCTTTACTTCCAGGGACTGCACCCGGTACCCACTCAAGGCTGGGTCGACCTGGTAATTTTTGAAAAACATCCTGCTGCATCATGCTAAGTTTAACCTGTTAATGTGGTCTTGCAGTCTATCTTCTTCAGGGCAAAACAAACACTGGTCGTCAGCAAATAGTAGTTCATTTAATGTGGGTGAATCAATAACTTCTCCTGATGTGTGTACTTCCTCACGATTATAAAGATCTATATTGTCTGTATCAGAACTTGCTTCTTTAGATATTCTGTCTATATAGATGTTAAATGAAAGTGGGGAGAGCACACATCCCTGTCTCACACCTGTGTTGACTGTGAACATATCTGATATTCCTTTTGTGTTTTTTTGCACTTTGGCTTGTGTGGTACATGGCTATGATGTTCTCTAGTAACTGTCCTTGTACCCCTAGTTCTCAAGAACAGACCACAGTTTGTTTCTATCCACTCTATCAAAAGCCTTTTCCTGATCTACAAACACAATATTCTGTTTGCTATTATACTCAATGGTTTTCTCACACACTTGCCTCAGAGTGAATAATGCATCTGTGCATCCTCTGCTTTTTCTGAAACCGAATTGAGATACACTCAGCTGTTGTTCAGCTGTGGGTCTAACTCTCTGTTCTAGTAATTAGGCGTACATTTTTCCTACGTGACTCATCAGTGATATACCTCTGTATGCTTCACATTTTCTCCTATTACCTTTCTGTTTACATAATGGCACTATTAGTGCCTGTTGCCACTCAGCTGGAACTTTTCTTTCTTCCCAAGCTATATTAAAAATTATAGCAAGCCATTTAACACCCACTTCTCCGCATGCTTGGATCCCTTCTGTATTAATTCCATCCAGACCTGGTGCTTTGTTTCTGAGGCTGTTCTGTATTTCTGCTCTTACTTCTGCTGCTATGAAATTTGGTTCCTCTTGTTTGCAGCTTTGAGATACAAAGTTAAAATTGTCTACATTGCCTGTGGGGTTGAGAAGTTCTTGAAAATACTCTTGCCAACCTCTGTTGTGGACTTATTAGAGGTATGCCTCTCTTGTTGTTGATAATAGTGTTTGGGTTGTAGCCTATGTCTCTTTCTCTCATGATTTTTACGTTTATAGAATTCTCTAGGGGAGTTCTTGCTGAGGGTAGCCATCTGCTGACCATAATTTCTCCAAGACTCGTCTTTCATTCATTCAGTAGCATGTCCCTCGCGGAACCTCGCTGCCATAACAACCCTCCGGAAAACCTTCCTATCATGAGCAAGATGTCCTGCGTCTGATACACCCATCTGGAAATCATCTGCCACATCCTGCACCCATCTTCTCCTTGGGCCTTCCTCTTCCTCTCTTCCCAGGCATATACCCCTCCATTATTGTTCTCTCTAGACTTCCATGACGTTTCAAGTGACCAAAATATTTCAATTTTCTTTGTTTTATTGTCTTTACTAGCCAACCCTCTTCAATATTCAGCTCTTGAAGTATGGATGCATTTGTTCTTTTCTTTACCCAAGATATTCTTAGAACCTGTCTGTAACATTTATATTCAAATGCATTTATGCGTCTTTAGACGCTTTAATTTTGTGTTTTGCTTCTCTTCTTACTAATCTGTAATGGACATAATCTTGATGTGATTTTGATTTTAGCAATTTTGTATGTGCCTCCTTCTTTCTGGATACACTGTCTTTAACTTCATTGTTCAACAAAATAGTTCTTAAATGTTTTACACTACCTACCCTTCTGACTCTCCATTTAGTTTGAAGTGTGTTGAGCATAGCCATCCTAAAACTTGTCCACTCTCAATCGATGTCTGAATATTCGCCTGGAAGGTTATTTAGTAGCTCTGTCATTTCTTGTTTAATCTCATCTTCAACAGTATTATCCTGAAGTCTCCCGAAGTTGATAACTTCTGTGGTTACTATTTTATGTCTTGGTTTTCTGAACTCAGTGTTCTTCTTTATTAAAACTGGTCTATGATCAGTGTCAATGTTTGTGTTTGGTAGGACTCGTGAGTCTATTTATTGTCTTTGTTTTGTCTTCCTGAATAAAATGAAGTCAATTTGTGAAGCCTGATCTAAATTGTCCCATTTATACCAGGTTTTGGTATGACTGAGTCGATGTTGAAAAAAACTGTTTGTTACTATAAGACCTTGTTGTGATCACAAGTTAATTAAGTAGATGTTCTCCGTTGCTGTTACAATCCATATCTGCATCACTGAATGACCCCATTTATTCTTCCCATGGCGATCTTCTTGTACCTATTCTTCCATTGAAATCCCCATCCAATTAGATCATCACTTTCACTGTTTAAAATGTTGAAAAGTTTCTTAAAGTATTTTTTCCTGTATTCTTCACTGTAACTGTCGTTACAGGGAGCATAGGTTTGCACAGTCACTGTTGTTATAGACCCTTCTTTGATCTGAATTAGTATGATTCTTTCTGATATAAATTCAGTGTGGATAATGTTTGTTATAATGTCTCCTATCTTGGTCTCGAAGATGGCATAGACATGCTTGACCAAGCTCAACACCCAGGTCATGCAGTGTTCTAGTGTTAGAGATTCATCATTATGTGTAAAATTAGGTGTTTAAAGGTGAAAGAGTTTACCATATTTTATCCTATATAATTTGTTGTGGTCTTGACAGAAGGGCTGGTTCCTAACAATCTGAAGTGATAGCCTCTGAAACAAACCATTAAAGAAAAACACAAAAAGATCTCAACCTCTTTGCTGCAGGCATCCTGTCCTTGATTAACTGCATTCATTTTCTCATAGTCCATGCTATGTTGTGTGGGGCTGGTGTTCATTTTTATCCAGAAACTTCTGTCTTAAGTAATTTCAATCAGCTTTTAACCCTTTGATTCCTAGGGAAGGCATCACATGCTAATTGGTAACAACCCAGCGGCTTAGTCAACGTGTGACAAGTGAAGGTTTTTAATTGACCACTGACCAGTAATAAAACATGGACCACTCAGTTTAAACTGCCTTTCCAGTTCTTTGTCTGATATCAGGCGTGCTCATTAGAAATGTGGTTCAAAACCTGAAAATGGAGTATATTTGCAAAGTTTGCAGAGTTACTAAGTGTTTGAAAATAATATGGCCACCGAGCAGTATTCTATATGCATGCCAATATGGTTTACGGCTTTAGAACCCTCAGATTTAAACTTGTTTATTAGATTTATCTGGTTAGATAGATATCATTGAGATGTAGACTTGTTTCAGTCATTTATAGAGTCAAACTTTGATGAGGGATATGTCTTATGTGTACCTCAGGCCAAGGGTACAACGATTGCAAAGTCAGCTGGCACAAATAGAATAAGTATTAGTAAAAAAGGCAGTTTTCTTCAATGTCAGTTCTAGTACTATTCCCCTTATTATTTAGGAACATAGCTACAAAATTGCAGGCAAATTGAGTGTTACATAAACTTCATTTTGTGTGAAGAAACTAATTGTTTTGGGAAGTCTGTTTTCTTTACCATATAGTGGTGCTCTGTTATGATTTTTCAAAAGATTTTTTGAAACAAAATCTAATGTGCAGATTGAGTTTACATTTTACTTATACATTACTAAGTGGCTCATATTCATTTGTGATTTATTTTGGATATATTTTAACAAGTTTTACTTGAGTGCCATGGTGGTAGGTGGAAATTTATTTAATTTTACTAATTTCTGTTAACATACTATCTGTTTATTTACTAATATTTAATTACTAATGCAATTATTTGTTGTAGCAGTATTCTGTTATTATTTTCAAATGATCCCAGGTCACTTTGATGTATAATATGTGGATGTTGCTTGGCAGTTGAATTAGGATGGTCTGTTTTAATATGACACTTGTAACATTTCTAAAAAATTGCATTACCACCCCCTGGGCCTCCGATGCTTAACCCCTGGGGACTCAGAGAGCTAATAGAGATGATTTTCCATGCCATCAAACTGCCCGGCATCCTCTCTGTTGGTCTCCCTCTGCCTATTTTCCCCTTACAACTTTCCTACTGTCATGATGTACTCCAGTTTTCTCCTTCTCATGGCAAGGACAAGCAGTTCTCTTCATGAATCAGTCGACTTCAATACATCTTCATTGGTCTTGTTATCTGTCTAGTCCAGGGAAAGCTGTAGTCATTACTCCTTCAATTAATAACACTCATTTATTATTTTTCCAAACTATGTGTAGGCTTGTTCATGAGTGGGCAAACTTTGCAGCTAGAGTTGTATGTGGAGTGAGGTAGGTGGTTCCATGCCAACCATCCTTATTCACCTCTTTCAACATGTGTGATGATGATGTCATTGCTTAAATAATCATAGTCTTGCTGTGAGTTTAAAATACACATAAATAGCTGCAAACCCTTGAGGCTGTTGGACAAGCATGATAAACAAATTGTAATGTTCTGACCAGCAGTTGTAGATGCAGCATAAAGATTTAGGGGGATCCCAGAGGGATCTAATGAGTCTAATTGTCTCTGATTATTTCTTCTGTATCTAAAAGAAGTAAGAGACATGTCTGGGCAACCACTGGTATCAACAGTTATATAACAAAGAAGGCTCTAAAACTGACACATCAGGTTATCGCAGTTCTAACTTTAAAGCGAATGGGTCACCCCCATTGATGCTTCATTCCTGTGACAATGAAAGAAACAACAATATCCATCACTCTTCCTTGTTACAAAATTGAAACAGACTGCAGTCTTAGCACAGCCAATAATATACATACACAAAAGTGCCAACACAAACAGTCCAACACTATAAATGAAGTTTATCATCGATGGAAGCAGCAGTTAAAACAGATCAGTAGTTGCTCATGCAATTAATTGCATAAAGCACCACTATCTATCTCTGATAACAAGACGTGCCATTTGATGAATGTGCAATTCACAAGACAAGCCACAGTGGGTACAGTTAAAACAGATTCCAAATGAAATCTAAGAAGAAAGGAGCCAGGAATCATCAAACACATTATCATAGGAAATAAAGGGATTGAGGAAGTAGGATGTACAAGAGTAACTCTGAAACAAACGTTGAGGAGAGAGGCCACTGGTGCTGGAATGGATTCCATCCATGATATCAAAGAGATTGCACCGTAAAGAATGGAATTGAGCAATAGATTGCAAGTCCTATAGAAGATATAATGGCACAAGAGGGCAATGATGATGATTTACAAGTGCTTGTTAGTACACGGTGGTTTGCTTATCTTACTATCATTGTACGGGAACTGCGTGGTCTCGAGGCATGGTGTCCGCCTCGAGTGCTAGGTAAGGGCTGGAATTTTTTTCACTTGGACTTTGAATTCTAGTAATTCCCCCTGGTCTCTGGGTAGTGAGATTGGACGCATTGTTGCACACGTAAAAAATCCCTTGGCAGTTGGAAATCAAAAAGAGTAGCCTTTCCCTGCTCGGGAAAAATTGGGAGTTAAAAATGTACCCAAAGTATTTCAGGATCCTTGCTGGTGCTACAAAGCCTGTGCACTGAGCTGAGCTTCTTCAGACTCAGACTTGAGTTAGAAGAAGAACGGAGCACATATGGTTACACCAGTGTGACATGATGTTGATTCGTTGTTCAAAACCTCAAAATCTCAAACTATTATTGTGAGTTTGCCTGCCATATAATCATTCTCAGTGAATGAAAGTTGTTCTCCATATATTTTTAATTGCAGAGCTCAAGTCCAAACCAGCTGTTCCACCAAAAGTGGTAGTCCAGCGACCTAGAGAGGAGATTATTGCTTTTGAGCATGTGCTGAACGCTTTGCGGTAATATCTTTCTCATTCTTTACAATTGTTCAGTACGTACATATGATTTCTTCTAACATGATTTAATACGTCACTTTTATTATAATGTTTTTATTACAACTATTTTTCTTAAATCATTTCTTCTTCTTCTTCTTCTTCTTCTTCTTCTTCTTCTTCTTCTTCTTCTCTTCTTCTTCTTCTTCTTCTTCTTCTTCTTCTTCTTCTTCTTCTTCTTCTTTGTTTTACCAGCTGTAAACTCAGCAGAAAGTTCTGGTTTTTTCATTCACCTCTGGTCACTGGTCTTGTTCCAGAACCTGAGTGTTGGGTACACATCCATTTTACCAATCTAACTTATTTATATTCAAACTATTGGTTGCAGGCCCCTCATGCGGATGCACTCTGACTTTGAATAAAGCTCCCAATTAGATGACTATTATGACATGCTTAGTAGCAGGACTATTCTTGTTTTCCCCACAATAGGGCCACAGAATCCACACAAGAAAAACCATTTTATTACAACATTACTATAACTATTTGTTAGTAAACAACTAAATATTAAATCACCTAGTAAAACATACAACATCCAACAGATGCTGTGTTTTCTTCAGTCTGTTTTTTGCCTTGGGACTGCTACCTGAAAGGTTGACACCACTGCAGTTTAAAGAGTCTTATCTTAAATGTCATTTCATCAGAGTAAATCTGGATACTTTAGTCACTTAGGACATCAGTCTGCTACTCTAGTGTACCGTGTAGTCCATGCTAGTGGGGATGTTGTTCAGTTAGGACATTCATGTACTACTCTGGTGTACCCTACAGTGCATGCAAGTGGGGATGGTGTTCAGTTGGGACATTCATGTGCTACTCTAGTGTGCCGTGTAGTCCATGCAAGTGGGGATGTTGTTAAGTTAGGACATTCATGTGCTACTCTAGTGTACCGTGTAGTCCATGCTAGTGGGGATGTTGTTCAGTTAGGACATTCAAGTGCTACTCTAGTGTACCCTGTAGTCCATGCAAGTGGGGATGTTGTTCAGTTAGGACATTCATGTGCTACTCTAGGTATCCTGTAGTCAGTGCTACTCTAGTGTACCCTGTAGTCCATGCAAGTGGGGATGTTGTTCAGTTAGGACATTCAAGTGCTACTCTAGTGTACCCTGTAGTCCATGCAAGTAGGGATGTTGTTCAGTTAAGACATTCATGTGCTACTCTAGTGTGCCCTGTAGTCCATGCAAGTAGGGATGTTGTTCAGTTAGGACATTCAAGTGTTACTATAGTGTACCCTGTACCCTGTATGTTGTTCAGTTGGGACATTCATGTGCTACTCTAGTGTGCCCTGTAGTCCATGCAAATGGGGATGTTGTTCAGTTAGGACATTCATATGCTACTCTAGTGTCCTCCTCAGGTAAACAAATTTTTCTTGCGGCATACTTACCTTTAAAGCGGTTTGAATACTTAGGAAAAGAAGAAAAACACAGCAAATTTAATGGTCAGTTGTCTTCAATGAGATGAATAAAACTGTTTGGGTGAATTGTTCATTATTTCCTTTATGTTTAAGGGAAGTTTAAGTTAATTGAAATCTCAAATAACTTGAAGGTTGCTCCTGTATCTGTTTTTGGTTTTTTTAGGCCATCCTCCGAATTATGGTCCCAAATTATCGAGGCTGGAAATATACCCTAACAGGGCCTTAGTCATATTTAAATTGTATACCTCTTTCCAGAGACTATACTGCATACCGCAGAAAAGCTTCAGCTGAGTTAAAGTCACCACCGAGAGTTACCCCCACACAGCTAAGTGTGGCGTGGAGGGAGGCTAAACTAGATGCCTAGGACACATGAGCAGCAGCTACCACATCTCCTGCAGCTTCATCAATTTTATTTGCTCGCGGTATAGTCATCAGAAAGAGGTCCGCAATATACATATGATTGAGGTCCTGTTACGGTATTTTCTTAGCATTAATCATTTGGGACCGTTATTCGGAGGATAGCCAATTTTTATTATGTAAGCATACATTGAGCATGCACTGCAGCCTTGCCAAGAGCATTCTTTCTGATTTAACCTGCATCCAGAATTCTTCTTATCTTCTTTCATGGTGTTTCTCTTGTAAACCAATGTCTTGGCTGATTTGAAGCTGATTTTGAAAAATTATTGATTATTGCCGTGGCACCCCTGGCACCCGGTTTGAGAACCACTGCTCTAGTGTTTCTTACAGTCCATGCAAGTGCGGATGTTGTTGAGTTAGGGCATCCATTTGCTGCTCTAGTCTACCTTACAGTCCATGCAGCCGGGGATGTTCTTGAGTTAGGACATCTATGTGCTACTTTAGTCTGCCTTACAGTCCATGCAGCTGAGGATATTAGTGAGTTAGGACATCCATTTGCTGCTCTAGTTTACCTTACAGTCCATGCAGCTGAGGATGTTGTTGAGTTAGGACATCCATTTGCTGCCCTAGTCTGCCTTACAGTCCATGCAGCTGAGGATGTTGTTGAGTTAGGACATGCCTTGCTGTTCTAGTCTACCTTACAGTCCATGCAGTTGAGGATTTTGTTGAGAGGACATGCCTTGCTGCTCTAGTCTACCTTACAGTCCATGCAAGTGCGGATGCTTTTGAATTAGGACATCCATATGTTACTCTAGTATATCATGCAGTTCATTCAGGTGGGAATGTTGTTCAGATAGTAATATTTTTAACCCTCTCACCCTGAGAAGCAGCAATATCATCACTTCGAGCTGTGTTCAGTTCCCTGTAAATGTCACTTTTATGACTTTATAGTATCCTGTTTACAAGACACATAGTTAAGGCTATTAACTGCACAGATGTTTAGGAGATGTCAGGATAAGATTAAAGTTAACTAACAGTATCATTTAAGCATTTTCTCAAGCCAAGTTGATGTTACAGTTTTCTGAAAACCTCAATGATAAGCCTCACAGGGTCACGGCATATGTCACCCAACACATTTGTTTATTAAGGCCCAAGGGATTTATTCCATTCAATGCTTCACCCTGTTCATGTTTATTGATTACTCCTTTCATAGATCTTTTTTATTTTAAATTTTTGAAAAAAAAATTTGTATTGAATAAATGAATTGTTAACAAATTTACTAAGGACCTGTATATATGTATTTATTTAAAATGGATTATATTTTAGAATTTTAACGGGTTTGTGACTTATTTTGATTAGTGTTCCACCAAAAATGTGGTTAAGCTCTGTAAAGAGTAAGCATTGGATTGGATTTTTTACCCCACCAGGACATCACACAAGCGATAAACACCCGATGACACAAAGTGCCACCATGCGGATGAGGATCACGGTGGAGAGGTCCCAGAAACCGCGTTCAGACATTTGGCCATAATGATGACCTGCCTATATTGCGGCCCCTGGCAAAAGCCAGAGTGGGGCTTCAAATAACAAAAAATAACGTCCTAAGAAGGACGAAAAGCAGTAATAGCAAGAGTAAGCATTTATATTTATTTTTGTATATATTCTCAGAACTTAAGTCAAACATGAAACATCATTGTGGCTTGCTTTTTTCTAGGCAGGAGAATGCGGTTTTGAAGAAAGAAATTGTTGACTCACAAAGTATCATTATGGGCTGCGACGGGACTTGGCTGGGGCCGCAGCCCGACTTTCAGACATCTCTGGAGAAATGAGCGAGAATCAGAAACAAGAGATGGAAAGAAACCGTGAGCTACTGCATCACAAGGAAGGGGAGCTTACTGAATTAAGGCAACAGATGGTTAAACTGTCGAAAATCATTGACAGCCAAAAGGAAGAGATTCAGAAATTAGAGGGAGAGCTGAGGTGAGATTATCTTGTCTGACTGTTTGTATGTGCACATTTGTTAGTAAGATAATCTTGACAAAGTGTTTGTCTGTACACGTTTATAAGACTTTCATGTCAGCGTATGTGTGAGATTATCCTGTCAGTGTCTTTATGTGCACAGTAAGGGATGCTCTTGTCACAGCCTGTGTATGTGCTCATTACTAAATTATCTTGTAAGTGTTTGTTGGTACCTGTTTTCACTGTACATTGTGTTGGAGTCCATTGATAATGAACTGCATTTAACCCATGTAAAAAATATGACTAGCCCTAGGGCTTATACTTATAGTCCATTTGTGCTGTTCAGAATTACAGATGACCTGGTTATTTCTCACTATTTAAGTTCTCAGTTGTGAAATTCCAGTACTGGTCTTGCACATGCTGCTGATCTCTGAACTTGGTGTGGGGAAGCTAGGCTCTGCATCACAGTCCCCATGAGGATAATAGTTTGGTAGTAAATCTAGTCTCTACCACTCCTACCATGATAGATGAAAACCTATTTTAGACCTCAGATGTTTTTGAAAACACTAAAATATAACAGTAATTAATTTTCTTGTCTTGTCATATGTGAATTATCATTGTAATTGCTCTTCTTATAATTCTTAAAGTTCGTACTGTGGGACACTGGTTATCATGCATGCCTGCAGCCTTTCTGCCGCGTGTTCTGTCGGTCAGATCTGAGACAGATTTGCCTCCCTTCAATTTCAAACTCTTACTAAGAAAATATAATTTTTGAATTTAAAAAGAAGCTTGTTTCCATTTTTTCAACAAACAAATGTCAACCCTTTTTTTCCACATCATGATGGTATGTTTGACTGATTGGGTTTCTTTAGTAAGGAGAAGAGCCTCTCTACAAAATACAAATGCCATCTGGAAGGTAACAGTGGACATGTGGAGAAGCTTGAGAAAGAGTTACACAGAGAGAAAGAGGAGCAGAAGAGACAGCTAGAGCTTCTGGAGACAGAGGTGAGATGGCTGACTGACATACATTTTTGTGTGTGGTAGTCTGTACTAGGTAATCTTAAAGAGCTGGTGTGCTACAGTTTTTCTTCTCGTTTGCTGTGTCACAGAAGAATAAAAGTGTTATATTCTCTCTTCATTTTCTTTCCTGATCCCCAGAAGGCTGATGATAAAACACCTCTTAGCAACCATTTTTATTGAACTAAATTCATCAGTTGTACTTAGGAATTCATTATTTCAGGTTTTTTAAATCTCAACTCTTTTGGTCCCAATAAACATCATCGTGTGTTCATAGGTTCTTACCTAGAAGCACAGTAAATGCAAGATGTGGCAGTTTTACATATCGCTTCACTATTCTTTGGACCTCTGATGCTAACTAAATCCCATGGGACTAAAAGAGTTAACAATGAACATGCACTAACACTTCAGTTTGAAGCTCTGAAAAAGTGATATTCAGAAGAGTAGTTTGTATTTCAAGAAAACAAACAAATATAGAATTCCTAGACAAACTTCAAATAAAAATAGATCTGGTAGAGGGCACTACTGTAATCATAATTTTGAAGTAAAAAAGCACAGTAAAACTTGAAGGAGATTTGCAGCATTGTTAAAACCAAAAGATGGATACACGTCACCTTGTGATGGTTACAAACAAAGCAAAAGTGTCCAAAAAAATAAGTATCGTCATCATGTAGCCGGTCTTCTGTGGAACATCACTCCCATCACAGCTTGCTTGACAAAACTCAAGCCCCTTCTCAGCTCTCCCGTCTCACGCACTCTCCTACCCAAGGTATTCTATTGTGTCTTGTGACCATCTTCATGCTGGTGGGCCCCTGCCCCTGTTAACTGGTACCATGCCCATCTTTCCATCGAGCGGGACCCTTCATAGGCCAAAGAATTTGAGTTTTCATAACAAGAAGATGTTCACTAGCCAATCTTCCTTGATGTTCTATTTTTAGGATGTCAGTATTTTGATTCTTCTTGGTCAGTTAAATTTTAAAAATCTTTCTTGAGCATTGAGCAAGAAAAAATCATTATAAAATGCCAAGTTCTTTGCAGAATATTCTCATCACATCCTATCAGATACACTCTTGATCCTTCCCTAGTCCCCCGCCTCCTATAGCTTTTTTTTTTCCCTGATTCATGCACTCAATGCCTGTAATGTGTTGCATTCAGTTTTATGTTGGTCTACATAATCTTTAAGAAACCCACACCATCCATTACTGTTGTTTGTAAACTACCATAACATTTGACTTGTTTAGTTTAAAAACGATACACTGTTTATAAGCAAGGTTTTGCTTCCATGATCTTCTCTTTCTTCTCCTTCACCTTTCAAAGGGCAGTTGGCACACTGAGTTGTGGTTTACAGCTAGGCATTGATATCTGTGCCTTTCATCCCAACACATCTAAATTCAACAAACCCTTAATTAGTCACCTTTTATGCTTGTTAATGGGGCAGTGACTCTCCTTCCCCCTCCCCAACCCCAGATGGGGCCATAGAATTTGCAGTGGGGATTTACCAGTTTTCCAACATTGTTGAATGTGAGCATCAAGTTAATGTTACTATTCAGATACATATACTAGTCATATCATGTAGGGTTGTATACAGTGCATCATCATCATCATGTTGAACCATATATATCTCACAGAGAGCACACTCATTTTTTTTTTAGTCTATTCAGCTTTACCCTGCCTTTTTGACATCATATATGAAATCCAAACTGGCACCTTTGGCTTCTCTCATCAGTGTTTTTCAGACTGTATCTTCTGAACATCCTTGCTTCCTCAGTCCATTTGTATACCATTGCAGTACCTGATTTAGGATTCTTTGCCTTTTTATCTCCAGAGTATGCTGAAATGTCATCACTTCCTTTCTCTTATAATTGTTGATATTGATAATTGTCCAAGCATCTCTCTTTTTTTTCTTCAGTTCTCTTGAATTTATCACATTTAATGGTCATCAGTTTCCTCGGGCATTTCTTTTTGAGTGCATTCAACTTTTGTTCCCTGTATTTAGTCTTTCTTCATTTTTCACTAGCATATAGAGCAGTGGTTCTCAACCTTCTCAACCTGCTGCGACCCTTTAATACAGTTCCTCCTGTTGTTGTGACCTCAACCATACAATTATTTTCGTTGTTACTTCATAATTTCAGTGAATATGTGTTCTCCGATAGTCTTAGGCGACCCCTGTGAAACGCTCATGCGACCCATAAGTTGAGAACCGCTGATATAGAGGAATGTAATCAATGTCAGAACTGAAAATATATAGCTTGGTTTCAAAACTATATCATTTAGAGTTTCATATTTTATGAGTTTCATATTTCTAGGAGCTGTCATCACCCTGCTAATGTGTGACATATGTACAGTTCAGCCACCTGAAATTATTAATTTCCTGTTATTATTATAAATGTGTTCACTATGACCTGACTGTTAGGGCCGGATTACTTCGGAGCTGACAAGCCTTGGAGCTCAGTGTCGTGGAGAGAGACACGAACAGGTCATTGCTAGGCAGCGGGATGCCCTGGCTGAGCTGAGGGCAAGAGTAAAAACACTGGAACAGTCCAGACCACCAGGTCAGTTGCATTTTCTGATCCTTCTATAAGAACAGTAGTGTGTGATTGTGTCTGTTGAGTGAGTTTGATTATTTCAGCTGTCACTTTGTGTGTTAGTAGGAGCCATCAAAGTGGCTTTAATGCTGTTTTAAAAGTGATAATATATATTATACTATGTCTTTTTTGATGTAATGGCAATTAATTGCCCGAAAGTCCTCACTCTTGACTTCTGTATATTTTTCCATCATCTCAGTGACAGTTAATTTTCTCTAGTGTCATGTCTTGGCCTTAGTGTACCCTTTATTTGACTATCTCCATGATGTAATTGATGATTAATTGCTCATTCTGTTAGCTTCAGTCTGTCCTGTGTTTCATTATTTTCTTGATGAAAGTGATGGTTAATTACCCCTTCTCTTTGCTTCAGTCTATACTTTATTATATTATTTCGGAAAAGTTAGTGATGATTAATTACTCTTTCTCTTGTCTTCAATCTATCATTTATTTCATTATTTCCTTGATGTAAGTGATGATTAGTTGTTCTTTCTCTTGGCTTTAGTCTACCCTATGTTTCATTATGTCCATGATGTCACTGATAAATAATTATCCCTTCTCTTGGCTTCAGTCTATCCTTTCTTTCATTATCTCCTGGATCTCAGCAGTGATTATCTGCCCTAATGCCCAAAATCTTTACTCCAGTCTACACAGAAGACCAAGCCCTACAGAAGATTATGCTTCTACAGAGAGAGCTGGCTGAACTTAGATCCAACCAGGCATTGACTGACAATTTACACATCCAGGACAGTTCTGCGCTAGGCAAGGAGATTGGCAGAGCCAGAGGTTTCTTCTCATCATCCAATGCTGAAGCGGAAATGGAGCGAAGTGCCCATAGAGAAACCATGGATGCACTAGACTGCAGTGAAGCAGCTGTGAGTATAAAAACATTTCTGGAGAGCCTGTAATGCTGTTCTTTAACCTGTGCTGGAAAAAATAAAATAAAGGACTCATTTTAACACCATGGACACACTGGGTATATGATACTAGGCTTTCTTTCCTAGGACATTTCCTGGTACCAATTTTAAGCTGGACTGACCTAGCAGGCAAAGCCAGCGTGTAAAACATGTGTCTAGTATGCATTCAAATATAAGACCTTCCTGCTATAAAAAAAGCATCTAGAAACAATGCAACTGCATGTCCATTCAGCCTTTATGTGGTTAATATGTATGTCTTTAACCCATGGTGTTATTTCAATGGTAGGATACAAATTCTATCAAGACTCCACACTTGTTGGTTCAAGTGTATGACAGACCTGGCTAGTGGTGACACTTTTTTAGAGTCAAAGTATTTCATCCGGCAGCCAGGAGATGACAGGTTCAATCGCATGTATGGTAAACTGTAACTTTTAGTTTTATGTTGTCTAGTGTGTCTTCGAGGCTCTCCTTTTGTTCTTCTGCATCTGGGAGTGCAAATTACAGTTTGTTTATCATACTACGTCAACAACTATAGTTTCTTATTCTACTGTTTCTGTATCCCTCAATGGAGCATAGTTGCTCTATATCAGGCATGTCAAACTAGGGATCCCTCCAGGACAACATGGGTCATATTTATGTCCTCATAAGGGATCCCCCCGGGGCCACATGGGTCACATTTATGTCCTCATAAGGGATCCCCCGGGGCCACATGGGTCACATTTATGTCCTCATAAGGGATCCCACTGGGGCCACATGGGTCACATTTATGTCCTCATAAGGGATCCCCCCGGGGCCACATGGGTCATTTTTATGTCCTCATAAGGGATCCCCCCGGGCCACATGGGTCACATTTATGTCCTCATATGGGCCACGCTCAACACCTAATTGAAATCATTTAGTAAAAAATGATTGCAGAGTTTTTCCTTTGTGCAGGCTACAGGTGTGTTTGCAAAGGGGTGCATGACGAACCATCAGATGTCTTTGTTTGTGAAAGGCAAGGTTCTTAATTCTGACCATGAAAAGTCCGACAGTGTGACAAACAAGGTGCAAACGTCCGGTAACCATTGGCCCCACTTGTCTTAGTGTTTGGACAGAACTGAAAAGCCATGTCTGATGCATGCTTTTCTGATACTATCAGGCTAGGCGTCTTGAAAGCATCAATGTTAGCAGTGTCTAATGTGCTGAAGGAGACTGAACCCATTTGTGTGGCCACCAAAGTTCCAGATCTGTGGGCTGCCACATGTTGATCTCCAAGGATAACAGCCCAAGATGAGTGGGAGTCTCAACACACAAATGAGTGGTTAGGCAGTTGTATGCAGGACATACATTTCTTGAATGAGCCCATTACAGTAGAATCGTGTGTCAGCTCTGCATTTACCTATGCCTCCTTGGATGGTGGGGAATGCCCATGATTTGCCCCTACCTTCCCTTGAGGGCCATATGTCTACAGACTGGCACCCTGAATGGGTCACACAGGGAAAACACCTGCAGCTAAAGGGACAAAGAGGATACCACAAAAAAGAGGCTACGTCATGTCCAATGCAACCAGCTGGGAAGGCTAAACCATGGAAACAAATGCCTGGTGAAGTCAAATGTGTGGGCCCAAAGATGCAAATATCGGAGCTATGCTTTAAACAGGCACAAAATCACTTGCTTGAATGAAAAGAAGAACAAACGAACGAACGAACAAACTTTATTTTCAAAGGGTCACAAATTGGGCACGCAGGCCCGTCTTACATTCGGCCCTTCCAGTCAACCATCTTTCGCACAGCAGTTGTATTTTACTAATAAAGCATGTTATGATCATATGATGTTATGCATATTATGAATATTATAAAAGAACACAAAAGCATGAGTTGTAAAGTCCATACAAAAACCCGCGCGTGCATACATACACCCACATACACACGCTCACCCACTCACTTACACACACATACATGCATGCATACATTACATACATACATACATACATACAGGCATACATACATACACAACACATACAAACAAACATGCATACAGGCATACACACAGGCATACATACATACACACAAACATACATACATAGATACAAACATACAGGCATACATACATACATACATACATACATACATACATACATACATTCATACATACATACGTAATACAGGCATACACACATACAAACATACCGTCATAAATACAGTCATGCATGGAGACACACACATGCACACACGGACACTCCCACAGAGACACAAACACTCAGACAAAAATACAGACACACACACAGACACTTACATATAAATACACACAGGGAAACACACAGCACACATATTTACATTCGTGCTCACACTGACACACACACCACACACACACACATACGCAGACAAACATGCAGACACATACATACAGCCACATAGACACACACGCAGTCAAACACACACACACACACAAATACAGACAAACAGGCAGACAAATACATACTGACACCCACAGAGACAAACAGGCAGAAATGCATACATATACAAACACATAGAAATACACATGCAGACACATATATTCAGCACTCACAGACATATACTCTGACATGCAGACACATACAGACAACAAAGGGGCACACACAATACACACAGAGAAACACACATAGACATGCACAGACAGACAGACACATGCTGACACATACACTCACTCAGACAGACATACAGACACCCACACACAGAGATAATACATACAGCCTCATAGACACACCCGCAGACAAAACACATAAACATACACAGGCAAACATGAAGACAAACACATACGGGGACACACACAGACACAAACGAAGATATACACACAGTCACATCAAATATGCCGAAAAACACTGATACACACACACATGCAGACAAACACAGAGACACAGACACATATACACAGCTACATTTATCCAATCGCACACACACACACAAGAAGAAAGAAGTAGAAAGTAAACAAGCATAGAACTGATCATGTGTCAAAGTACACTTGTTCCTGCAGTGAGGCACTGACATCATTTAAAGATGACAGGTTTGATTCTTGAATATAGTACTCAATTTTTATGTTGTCTAATGTGGCCTTCTGTCTCTCTATTTCTGTCTGTGACTGCTAATAAGTTTACAACAGTTTGTTTATTATATTCCGTTTTAACTGTCTCGTGGGATACGCTCTCTGTATGATTTCTCTTTAGACAAGAAATAACATCAAGCGTTTCAAAGGGGATGCATTTGGTAATGGTGATATTTTGTAACTACGCTCTGACATGTTGCTTTAATATTCGACAGTACCTCTCTCTGTGCCGATGCCTGGCCGACACTCTCAACATAGAAAACATTGAAGGCATTTCTTCTATGGCCCACATTCCCAAAGATGAAAGGGAACACTTGATTGAAGTGAGGAAAAAGGCATGTCAGCTGATTGTTAGTCGCATTGAAGCTTTGAAGGAAAGACTGGCACGGAAGGATGCCCTGCTGGAGGACTACGAGTCCCAGCTGGCCCAGTTAAAGTAAGCATAACCTTCTTTGTTGTCTGCATTCAACATAAGCCATAATAAGTATTTGGTCCTGTTTTTCCTCCCTGGAAACCATAATAATCTTTGGTATCCTAGGTTTGTTTTTATTGTTTTTAAGCTAGGTAAGTTACTTCTATTTTAAGAAAACCCACTCAGATTTCTTGACCTAGATTTGTGGTGATTGTTTCAACTCTTAATTAGCTAAAGCATGGACTTCTTCATTACTTCCTCCTTTACTGCTTTGGATGTCGAGGGAGATCAAAGTTTCTGCTTCTTGTTCTTCTGGCCACCTCGACCATAGACACATCATGCTTGTGTAGATTTTCTCTGGTGTTATCTTTCCATCTTGTTCTTGGTTTACCTTATGTTCTTCAGCCTTCTCTTGTTGTGTATGTCTTGTAATTTATGACATAGCAAGACATTTTCTAAGTTTGCAGGCTATTTGATTTGATGTCCTTTTATGAAAGAAGAGCTACGTGGTCTCGAGGTATGGTGTCCGCCTCGAGTGCTAGAGCTCCAGGGTTCAGGCTCCTCGAGGGCTGGGATTTTATCACGTGGACTTCTAGTAATTTCCCTCTGGTCTCTGGGTAGTAAGACCGGATGCCCGTGTATATTGTTTCACACATAAAAAATCCCTTTGACAGCTGGAAGTTGAAAAGAGTAGCCTAACGGTGCTGCCCAGGCACAATTTGGAGTTGAAAATCTACCCAAATTATTTCAGGATCCTCGCCGGTACCACAGAGTTCAAGCACTGCTCCTAAATTTTTCAGACTCAGGCTTGAGTTAGAAGAAGAACAGAGCACCTGTGTGCCATGTGTTAATTAGTTGAATGAACGTGTCTTTGTATGATTTTAAATTTGATTCTGTGCTGACTTGTTCTCTGATGACCCAATCCCTGATTGTATCTTTTCTGGTCACTCCTGTTGCCCCTTAAAGCTTGGACAGTCAGTTTTTATTTCATAGATTTATTATGACTGTTTTAATGCACAGTAAATTACTTACATTTAAAGTAACAACAATCATGTTTGCTGTCCAAGATCTGTTACTGTTATTTGAACTCTGAGTTAGCTGTAGCTAGAGCACTTAAAGCTAGTTCCAAAGATTTGTTATGATTGTTTAAATTCTCGGTCAGCTTTAGCTGGAATCTTAATGTTTGTTCCATAAATTTGTCATGATAGTTTCAACTCTCGGTGAGCCACTTCTAGTTTAAGTAGCCGCAATCGAGACTTTTGTCTGAGATCTGTCATTATTATTTATAACCTCTGTTAGCTATAGATTAAATACTTGAAGTAAACACTACCATTGGTGTTCCATAGATCTCTCATAATGCACAAGGATGCTACTTGTAATTAAAGTAACCATAATCATGTTTGTTGACCAAGATTTGTCATGATTGTTTCATCTCTTAGTTAGCTGTGGCTGAAAAACTTTATGTTTGTTCCATAAATTTGTCAAGATCATATAAACTCTTAGCTGTTAGCTGTAGCGATCAGCCGAACTAAAATGAGTACCAGGTAATATCCTAGAAAGCAAGTGTGACCACAGATGTTGACCACCTCACCCACTGAGTGCTGACTGGTCTTGAAAAATGTAAGTCTGGCATCAAACACCTGCTCCACATTTACATATAAAGTGTCCAGAACTTTCCTTTTACTTACTTAATGACTGTACATAGTAAGTAAAGAGCCCTTTGTACACTAGATCAACATGGGAAGATAAAATCAACAATTCTAGATTACAACAAATGGCAGACTTGGAAGATGTAAATTTAACAATAAAAAAATTAGGATGGAGGTGGATTGGATATGTCTTTAGAACGAAGAAAGATAGACAGCCAAGACAGGCAATGCAATCAACACCATAAGCACAACGAGGAAGAGGCAGGCCCAGAGGAACTTGGAGGCGAACCTTTGAGGCTGAACCCAAAGCTACATGAAGGATACAACTGGAGATAGAGAGGATGGCTCAGGATTGAATTGAGGGATGACAGTTTGCCTCTGCCTTGTGTGCCTCTGGGCGCAATAGGAATTGATTGATGTCAACAATCGCCACCAAAATTGCAAGTTGCCATTTATGGAAGTAAATCCCCCGTGTGGGTTCCGGGGCCCCATTGTGGGGAAAACAAGAATAGACCCACTGCCTCCCCAAAAGCATGTCGTAAGAGTCGACTAATTGGGGAGCTTCCTTTGAAGTCGGAGTGCATCTGCCGGAGAGGCAAGGAACCAACAGTCTGTATTCAAGAGAATGAGATCTGTAAAACTGATGCACACGCAACACTCAGGTTCTGGAGCAGGACTGCAGTTCAGTAGTGGACGAGCAACCAGAACTTTCCGCCAGAGTGTACAGCTGGTGAACGCGAAGAAGAAGAAGATGGAAGTAAATAGTCAGTTACGATGAGCTTGCCGTACACTTTAAAATTATTGCATAAGTTATTTTGTCAGCCAAAAAAACCGGCTGCCCACAACTTTCTGAATATCATGACAAAACCTCTGTGGACACAAGCAAAAGGCATTCCACACTAAATACACAGCTCACAGTGCTCCAACAAGCATTTAACTTTATACCTTGGCAGTGAACCATAGACTCCAGTCCATACTAAGAAGGGCATTAGTACACCATTGCTAAAATTAACTTCATAGCTAAAAAGACTGACCAGCCTATCCACCAGATTGGACAGCATTAGGGTTGCCATATTTTGATTTTCAAAATTAAGGATACTTCTCCAAACATGAAATTCCATTTCATTTGTGTTCCATTTCCATTTCTCTTATGACATGATTTTTTCTAAGAATGTCTTTTGCATAAAAGGTCCATCAAATTGTCTGCAGGTGAAATGTTTGAAATTAAATTTTGTATGTGAAATTGACTTGACTGAATACACACTAAGATGATTTCTTTCACTAGGTCATTAGGCATAGATTAAAGAACCTTTTCTTTCTACTGAAGCATTGTGTGCTGGAATAGAAAAAAAAAAAAAAACAACAGCGTTATCTTCATGATTCCAGAGCACATTATACTACTCCAACAGTTTTAAATATAGTCACATAGTGTTGTTTTGTCTTGTAAAATTGTGGGCAAATGTATGTATGTCCCCTGTTCTTTGGGGACTAACAGATTTACTCATGAAATGATGATGTGTTCACAAAATTGAGGACATATGGCAACCCTAGACTTGACAGTGTAATGAATATATACAGCTTGTCAATGCCAGTCAATGCTGAGCTGAGTGATGTGGTCACACTGCTGAATGCTATGGTCACGGTCATGCCTTTACTTGTCAGAACATTCCCTGGGGACCAGTTTAGGCTGGGCTGACCTAGGAGCAGACAAGAATTTAAAATAAAAATAATACCTAACTTTATGAGGGTTTTAAAAGTGACCACTAAACCATACCGGTGATGCTGGCCGCTACAGTCACTGACTTCCTGTGTTAAAATAAATATTCCCCTAATGCCTGTGATAATAATCCATTTTAATGTCATGTTTCAGAGCGACACTTGTCTTGGAAGAAAGAAGAACGCAAGAAGTTAATCGTTTGAAGGTACTGACCTTGCATTTGTTTTTCTAATCTGTCACATTTAATTATGAGTTCAGTTTAAAAAAAAATACTGATATCACAGACCTTGAGACATTCCCATAAGCACTCCATCACCATTTTCAGCAGCCAGTCCAGAGTTTCAAAATCTGATTGTACCAGTAGCAGTCTGATTATATGTCTTTCTTGTCTTTCATCTGAGTGTTTCCCCACATCGGTTCCGGGGCCCTGTTATGAGAAAACAAGAATAGACCCACTGCCTACCCAAAACGCATGTCGTAAGAGTTGACTAATTGGGAGTTTCCTTTAAAGTGGGAGTGTATCTGTCTGAGAAGAAAGGAGCCAGCAGTCTGCAGACAAATGAGTCAGATCTGTAAAACTGATGCACACGCAACACTCAGGTTCTAGAACAGGACTGCAGTGGATGAACAACCAGAAATTGTTGCCAGAGTTTTCAGCTGGTGAAGGCGACAAAGAAGAAGAAGATCTGGGTGTTGAGTGTTGAAATTGCATATAAAACTTAGTAGTATCTTCTCCAGAATGTCAGAGACCAGCCTCGGCATGTATCGTATTTTTTTGTTTTTGTTTTTTGTTTGTTTTACTAGATAGTTTTACCTCTTTAAGGACATATGGCCACTTTGGTGGCTTCTGAATCTATCATGTTTGGATGGATCGCTTCTAAAGTGGCTGCATAAATAGACACTCACATTTTTTTTTTTTTTTTGCTAGGAAAATGAATTTGTATAAAAACTTTTGGAAAGACTAGGATTAGCAAAAGGAAATATTATTGTTTTCCAAACATGGTGAGGCTATAAGTTTAATTTTTTATTTGTTTTTAGTTAATTCAGTGTAGTACAATTTTTGTGTGATTTTCCTGACCAAAAGATAATGGAAAAGGTCTAGAACTGTCCATACTGCTGTTGTCACTGGTGAATCAGAGCCAGATAATGATAGTAGTCATCGTATTATGATTAACATTGCAAACGCAGATAATATCGGTTAGGATGAATTTTAACACAATATTTCAGTTATTTTGTCACTGTTTCGATCAACTGTGTCAGGAATTTAGTTATGAAGTTATCACAAAAATGGTCATAAAAACCAAATTATTTAGACTAATTGTTTCAAATAGCGGCGTCCGTGGCTAAGGCGTTGCGAGTAAAGCCACTACCGCGATCGAAACCTGCATTATGCGTGATTTTTATCGTGGTAGAGAGGTCGACGCTAAAATGGGAATTGGGCTGTCCTGGAAATAAAGACATTATTTTTACCCACAGAGTGCTGATGGTCTGTAAAAATATGGGACGCTCTGCCCAAGTCACCGAAAGGTGTGAAAAGGGAACTTTACTTTTTTTTAATTGTTTCAAATAAAGACTAGCTGATGCATTATTCAATAGAGAACGCATGTGAATTCTTAGAAATGAAATTATTTTTACAGAGCACGTAAAAAAGTAAGGTAAGTACAAAACTTCATCTGCCAAAAATCTTCATGTATGTCTTAACATACTTGAATGAGGCATAGTTTTAATATCTTGTTGTAAAATCGATACTTAAATAGCCTTTGATGAATTTTGTATTCATGTCTCTTTAATTTGATGTATGTAACTATATAGCAAATACTTTTTCTTTAGGAAGGTTTGGCTTTGTCATTTTGCAGTAAACAAAATTTCAGTTCAAAGTGAAGCTGTCTGAATCCCAGAACTAATGTCGTTCGGAAAGTTAGATTCAGTAGTTTGCCACTGCTTATAGAAATATACGTATGCAATGCAACTGATGAACACTGACAATAACTTGGATATTTCACTGTTTTAAACAGAACAGTGCGCGAAGCAGAATGGAGGAGTCAGAATACCTGAGAGAGACACTCAACAGAACCAGAGATCGACTGAACCAGGAGAAGAGACTAAACACCTTGATCAAAGATAGACGGGTGAGTACTTTAAAAAAACTCATCCATGATTTTATTTCTGACAGTTTATTCATATTCTCTTCTTTTTATTTGTCTTTATTGTCTGCATCTTTCTCATTCGGCCACCACTTTCTTTCATTTTTTGTCTGTCTTTCTCTTGTTATTATTGTGTTGCAGCTTCTTTAGTGTACCTCAGATTTCAGTGTGAATGCAGTCAGTGAAATGGGAATCCTTTGTCAGTCGTTAACTCTTTCACCCTAAAGACTTTTAACAGACTTGGCTCATATTAATTTTCCTTTACAGAAATGGCAGAGGGGGTGGTGTGAAAAAAAAAAAAAAAGTAATAGAGAATGTAATCTATTTCTAATCCCTTCACAGTTGTATATTTTTGTAAAAAATAATGAATGTGCTTTATGAATTGAGATGATAGGACAATGTTTAATGCTGTGGGGGAAAGCAGGTGTTATGTTTACAAAAACATCTGGCAAAATAATTCTTCACTTACCATGGTTTTGCAGCCACAAGAGCAGTAAATATCCAGATTTTAAAGTTTGTTAAATTTCTGAACAAATTTAACAGTACTTTCCTACTCTTACCCCCTAAACACAAGAGCAATGGAACATGCTCTGTGTCAGACTCATCAGAACTGTTAGATTCACTAAACTGACCGCTCAGCTGCCATACATGTAAATTCAACAACTCAATCACTTTCTGAATAATTTAAGTCTGTGTTTTTCAGAATCATAATTCAGGGCATTTGACTGAAAGAATTTCAGAGCTTCAGTGCCTGGCTCTCTAGCGTAGTTGGCTAAACCGGATTGCGCGGTGACCAGGTGACCAACTCCTTGTGATCTGTGTTCAAGCCCGGGGGTAGGCAGAAAAGCCACATTTCTCCCAGATTTACGATATTTACAATGGAATCAAGGCCGAAAGGTTGCGACATCCATAATACCGAGCTCAAGGGTTAGCAACTCATGGCTTATGGAATACTAAAACAAAACAAACAAACAACAGAGCTTCAGTCACAGAAAGGTGCATTTTATAGCCTATACTTGTGCTTTGAACATCAGTATCTGCAGTCATTCAAAGGTGAAATAGCAAAATTCACTGTCTGAAAATAAGGCTTGCAATGAATTCAATAATTTAGCACTTAAATGTTCAAACATAGACTAAAAACATAAAAAATGTTAGAGTAACAGTTCCTTGAAAATTCTACATATATTTTAAAACATTAAAAACTAGTCCTGAGCAATATGCAAATCATAATGTCTGGGACATATAGTCGGCACAAAGTGCGCTGTTTGGGCAATTCAGAAAGTCTCAGCCAACCCACACTGTTCGATTTGGCCTGAAAGAGTTAACTTATGATTAATACTAGTGTTGGCAATAGATTATTCTTTGTGGGTAGGCCAAGTCTTCCATCTGTGGTCACTTGTCAGTTTATAAATGTTAACAATAATAATAGGTGTAATAATAATAGTAATTATAACAATCGTCATCATCATCAGGTGCCTTGCCGACTGGGGTGGGCGATCATGCCTCTCCATAATCTGCGATCTCCTGCAGCATGTATCAGTTCATGTGCCGACACACCTCCACGCCATGCAACCAGACTGTCAAGCATCTTCTCTCGTTGTCTTCCTCTATCCCTCCTTCCACAGATCTTTCCAGTGGTCATAACATGTTCTATTTTCTCTCTTCTCATAACATGGCCGAAAAATGATGACTGTCTACTTCTGATGTCTGCGATAAGTTGTCTTCGGGCTCCTGCCTCTTTTAAAACCTCTTGGTTGCTCTTTTTGGCTGTCCAAGGTATTCTAAGCATTTTTATGTAAAACCACATCTCTGAGGCCTCAAGAAATTGTTTGGCCTGCCTACCGATTGTCCAGGATTCACAGCCATATGTTAAAACTGGATGTATGTAGCAAGTAATAATTCTTTTTCTAACTCTCAATGACAAGGATATATTGCACAAGATGTTTTTCATTTTATAAAATGCAGTTTTTGCCTGTCCTATTCTGTTTCTTATCTCAGGTATGCATCTTTTATCTGATGTTATAAATGTGCCTAGATACTAAAATTTCTGTACTTGTCCTAAAATAACACCATCCACTTTTATTACACATTTAGGAATAATTCGTTTCTTTTGATACCACCATTACTTCTGTCTTCCCATTATTCAAACTGAGGCCCATTCTTCCACTTTCTAATACCACAATGTCTATCATTTCCTGTAGTTCTTTCTGACTTGTTGCTATCAAGACTGCGTCATCAGCATAATGTATTTATATTGTGCCCACCAACCACAATTTTGGGCACATCAATTAAAGATCGCATTATATATTTACTGTATATTGAAAACAAATCAGGTGACAGTACAGATCCTTGTCGTACGCCCCTCTTTATGCTTTGAAATGTACCTAAACAGTTGTTAATTCTTATAGCTGCTGTTTGTTGCCAATGCATATTCTTTATTATTCATAGATCTTTCCCATCAATGTTTAATTTTTCTAGCAGTTTGATTACTTCTTCATGCTTCACACAGTCAAATGCTTTTGTATAGTCTATAAAGCATAAGTACAAATCAGCCTTTACTTCTTTAGCTCTTTCTGACACTGTCCTTAGAATGTATATGGCATTGTTTGTACCTTTTCCTTCTACAAATCCACATTGTTCGTCGCTGATTTCTGGTTTAATTTTGTTTCTTATTCTTCTCCTAATTATTCTCAGTAAAATGTGACTCATAAGACTTATTGTGCGATGGTCTTCACATTTTAAAGTGCCTAGTTTCTTTGGCAGAGCTATAAATATGGATTTTAAAAGGTCATTTGGAATATACCCACTATTATAAATATCATTAAAAAGTTTAGTTATTATTTTAATTCAAAAATCTCACAGTGCTTCTATTTCTTTCAGTGAGATGTTGTCTGGCCCGGGTGCTTTTCCTTTCTTCATATGATGTATTGCATCCTCAACTTCTGCAGTCATTATTGGTGGACCATCATTGTTGGTCTGCAGTTCTACGTCTGGTCTATTATCATCATACAATTTCCCTATATACTCTGTCCATCTGTTAATTATATTACTATGTCCCATTAATAAGTCACCATCCTTTGATTTCAAACATCCAGTGCTGTTACGTGTCATCTCTCTTGTTAACATATTTATCTGTTGGTACATGGAATGTGAGTCTTTCCTGTGATTTTCCCCAATCTCTGTACACATTTGATTCAGCCAGGCTTCTTTAGCCACTTTATCATTCTTTTTCTTCCTTCTTTCATCCATCAACTGCAGAATTTCGGTTGACATCCATTTCTTTTTTTGCAACTCTATGGGTTGGTGGGATTGTCTCTTTTGAGGTCTGCTGAATTGACTCACGCAACATACCCCACTGTTCATCAATAGTCTGTATAATTTCCATTGCATTATACCGGTTTTGTAGAGTGACATTCCCTAATTTCTTTAGAATTCCTAAATTTAACTTGAGTTCTGTGGTAATGATAACAATAACTGTAATAAATAAAAAGTAAAAGTTAGCAAATACTTTAGAAATCTGGACATTTTCACTTTGTCTTCTTCTTCTTCTTGTTCACCGGCTGTGAATTCCGGCGGTAAGTCGGTTGTTCGTCCAAAATGGACTTTTGGCTTTTACCTTGACCTGAGTTTTGCGTGTACATCCGTTTTACTGGCTTATTTGTTTGCAGTTCTCGTTCCCCGCCTCTCCGGCAGATGTACTCCGACTTTGGGGGAATTTTACCTCTTTAAAAATCCTGCCTTGGTGGTTTATTTTTCAATGTGGGTATTTTGACATTAACTAAAATTTTTTATGGGGTTGATCAAAATTAAAGGCATTCACTGAATAATGTAATCTAAAGCTGTAATTGATTTGTTATTTCATTCTTCAGTCAGTGAAACTTACAAGTATTGAATATAACACAGTTCAAGTCTGCTTATCTTTACTCTATAAATACACAGTGTCTGAAACCAAGAACAGCATTGCTGATGTTATATTTATTTTTTGGGTCCAGATAGTTGTTAATGAAAACACAAGACATGTTACTACCGGGCATCACCACTGTAAAATAGAAGATCCCAAGGTTAGTTGTTGTTTTATACTGTTTTTTAAACAAATCAAAGTCACTTTGTTTTTCATCATTATCATCATGAGTTACAGTGCTTGCTAAATCATATGAGTATTTGTTTGTGCACAAACATCTTAACTCTTTGCCCTGAGAAGCTGCAAAACAACATTTCCTGATTGGGTCCAAGCTATAAATATATTAGCTAAAAATAGTATGTCGAGGTTTTAAGGAGGATCAAATAGCTTGTGTAAAACCAAGTGGGTAAAACATTTTCCTGTAATACTCAGTGATAGAGGTCAATAGGTCACAACATGAGTCACCTGATTCAAACTGTTTTTTAAGCCCCCAGGAATGTATTCCATCTAACGCTTCACTCTGTGTTTATTGATAACTCCCTTTATATACTTTGTGTGTTTAAAGAAAAAATGTTGATAAATAAATGTTGTTTTTTAAATGACTTATGTTTGTGGGGAATCTAGTGAGATCATGGCCCATTTTTTTTAAAAGAACTACCAGGGTAATAGCATGTACCTGTCATTGTTTCCATAGTCTATGTTTGTTTCCAATTGTGATGGTATGGTGAGTAGCACTGAGAGAGTTTACAAACAAAAGAGTAACAGATAGTTGTAGCCCTCTGTTCCTATCTGTGAACTGTTAGCCCTGTCTCAGTCTCAAGCACACAAAAAGTAAAGAAATCAGTGCACACAGTAGTGCTTAAATATTTGTCATTTACACTTCAGCATGTGCTGCCTTGTTTTCTTCCATTCTAGACTATATTTGTGTAATTATGTAAATTTGAAGGGGGAATTATAACTAAACTAATTGGATTCCTATAAATGACAATGCCCTGAAGTTAAACTGCCATTTGATCTAAAAATAGATGTGACACATAGAAGCAGTTAGTGCTATATTTGGTAAAAGAAAGCTTCCCAAAAACACATCAAAGGAAGCGGAAGTGTTATGTAAGCAACTTAATTCTTCATCACACACAAAATTTACTGATGATATAACTTCATTATTGAGAGACAAATAGGAAAACTGTCACTTTTCGCAATTAAAAGACCCTATGTAGGTTCAGGGCACCCCTTTTTTATGGAAAAGGATAGACCCACTGCCTATTCTCCACTCCCCCCCTTAACCCCCAACCAACAAGCATGTTGTAAAAGGCGACAAGTTTGGGTTTTTTTCTTTAAAATCAGAGAGCTTATGCCTTAACGGGGAGGAGCTAAAGGTCTGCATACAAGTAAGTCAGATCTGTGAAACAGATGTGTAAGCAAAACTTAAAAGTCTGGAACAAGGCGTAAGTCCAGAAGCAGAAAAAAAAAAAAACAGAATTGTTTACCTAAATTCACAGCTAGTGAACACACAACCAGAAGAAGAGAAAGCAATTAAAACAGCATAACAAAAAACAAAAAGATAGACAAGTCTGAGCTTCTGGCTGATCTTAAGCTTGTCGTCATGGGAAATAACTGACTATGAGCTCGGAAACAAAGCAATAATAGATGTTTGCTGTATGGCGTTAGCTCATAGTTTTGATAACCAAGTGGAAACAAAGCAATAGTAGATGTTTGCTATGTGGTATTAGTTTATAGTTTTGATAACCAAGTGGAAACAAAGCAATAGTAGATGTTTGCTACGTGGTATTAGTTTATAGTTTTGATATCCAAGTGGAAACAAAGCAATAATAGATGTTTGCTATGTGGCGTTAGCTCATAGTTTTGATAACCAAGTGGAAACAAAGCAATAATAGATTTTTCCTATATGGTGTTAGCTTATAGTTTTGATAACCAAGTGGAAAGAAAGCAGTAATAGATGTTTGCTATGTGGCGTTAGCTCATAGTTTTGATAACCAAGTGGAAACAAAGCAATAGTAGATGTTTGCTATGTGGCGTTAGCTCATAGTTTTGATAACCAAGTGGAAACAAAGCAATAGTAGATGTTTGCTATGTGGCGTTAGCTCATCGTTTTGATAACCAAGTGGCTTGTGAAGGAAAATATAGTTGGGATTATATCAGCAATGTCCCTGTATGGGTTTTTTAGGGCACCATTTCTTGTGCGGAGGGAGGGGGGGTAGAGGGGAGACAATAGACCTACCTCCCCTAACAAGTCTTCCATAAAAGGTGCCAAATTAGGAGTTTGCTGAAATCATATGTGTGTGTTGGGTTGAAAGGTGTGATATCACAGCCTAGCTGTAGATCACAACATATTGTGCACCCGCCTTTTAAAAAAGGTGAATGCAGTAGAAGATGAAGCCAGAAACAGTTTATAATTAGAAATCAATCTCTCTGGAAAAGAATATTCACTTTAAAATGGACTTTGTGGAAGAAATGGGGTGAAGTGCACATGATAGGATGACTTGGTGGAAGTGATCAAGAACCTGTGCCCACTGGTGGGATTAAATGCAGAAGAAGAAATTTGAATTGTGGGTCTTAAAAGAATTGACTTTGTCAGGCTGTGAAATTGCCCACAGTAAATCAAAACTGTTGTAGGCATAATGACCCATGATATTCTAATTCACAGGCGAAGTCAATTATTGGCTGTTAACATTAGAGATTAGCACATTTTACGGGTCAATTTTTTTAAAAATTTAAAATAGTCAGTTATGGCTTGTTGACTTCATCGTTAGTCTTCTTTTTTTTTTTTTTTTTAACTTTTCCCCACAATGGAACATAGACCCTCAACCAAGCCATGCCCAGTCGTCCTCACCTTTGCCATGAAGTAATTGTCAATGTTTGTACTTTGTATTCTTGAAAGATTATTTCTGTCAAACTGTCTTCTTCTAGTGCTATAAACATATGTGGGGTTTGTTGCTAACTGTTGAACGATAATGAAGGTTTTTGAGCCACATTTGTTTTCATTAAGGATTATGTTACATTAGTTCTAGTTCTACATCTCTAACAGAGAAAAGTGTTCATGATATTTGTTGATAAATGATTATAGTAATTGATTTTAGATGATATATTCCTGGGTCTAGAGTTTTCTCAAATTAGCTCTAGTAGTCTTAAGTTATGATGTTTGTTGACAGGATGTGGTCAAGAACAAACAACAAAGTGAACTTCTGAAGCGCAAGAACTATGAGATCAAGAAGCTGAAGAAAGAACTCAGTGACACAGAAAGAGAACTTGATGAAACTCACAGAGCTAGACAGCTAGGCTCTGACCTGGTATGAAATATATGATGATTATTTGTTATTATATTATTGGAATGGTGTTTACACAATAACTGCTTCTGATTTCTGTCACTGGTTATTGATTGCACACTTCTGCTTGGAGACAATCAAACTGAAAAACAATCAGATGTTATGAAAGACTAAAGTGTATTTGTTGGATCTAAAAAAAACAAAAACACACACACTGGAAGAATGCAAAGATATCCGTAAAGTAAATGATAATTGATCATAAATGTATATTGTTTTTTTTGAAGGGATGATATGAAAGGGTATACCGCAATCCTATAAATATTACTGCTATTTAAATGTGAAATGTTGAACCTTCATATAATCTCTACCATGAAAAGATGTGGTGGTCAGTTTCTTTCTTCATCATTTTGCTTTCCAGACAGTTCCCAGGAGATTATGAAAATTTGTTTGTCAGGCTGGTCACAAAATTAATCCTGCCTCTACTGTGGATTGAACTTGATTGTTTTGATAGGCAAGGGCACTAACCTCTGACCATGGCTCTTATAGGAAAGTATATGAACAGTTGATGTTCTTGTGTTAGAAAAATTGGAATATGGAAGGAAAGATGAAGTCAAAGGAACATGATGTGCCTGCATAAATGTACAGTTAAAGTTATAATATTATAGATTTATAATATTTGAATATACTAATCTCATTTCACTTCCACCAGTTACGTTATTATTGAAGTGTGTTGGGGGGAGGGGGTTGGAATGTCAGGATCTTTAGTCTGCTCTTTACAATACATTGTTTAGATTGGTTTTATTTTCTTTTAGTCTGTTCTTGATACAATTATTCCATCTTCTGTGTTTTTTTACTTTTGAGGCATGTGTGAAAATTCAGATATCTTTTCAGGTGGAGAACATCAGATAGAATATATATAAAGAAACCGCTGTAGGAATAAAAAGAATCATTTTGAGTAAAGCCATTATCAAATTATCAATGAAGAGATAGCAAAAATACAAAAAGATCATCTGGTTTAGTCCAAGGTTTCCATGGTGATTGGTTTATTTTAACTTTTTGAGTCCCAAGGAACGCGTCCTACGTTCATAGATTCCTACCTAGAAGCCCAATGAACGCAAGATGCGCCGATGTTACGTCTTTCTTGACTACCCCTTGGGCCTGCGATGCTAAACCCTCTGCCTTAGAGTTAATAATGGAGTATGTCACTCATCTTCATCTGGTGCTCTGCAGACTGCCTGGGGGGAAAAAGGGGGGAAGGGGTGGGATCTGTTAAACACAATTTTGAGGTCCATGATTTCATTTACAAATGACTCTCAATTTTAGAATGCAGTCTTTTTTTAGGTGTGTGATTCTATTATTTATAAATTATAACTTCTTCAGTATAACTATTACAAAATATGTGATTCCCTGACAGAACTTTACAAATAAGAGGTTACTAATGTGTTGGATAATTGGGAACTACTGGAATATGTGACCTGCATGTTTCAGTTGAGAGAATTCATGTTTGAACTTTGTTATATGTTGATGTAAATTATTTAATATGCACCCTATGTGAGAAATACGACAGGTAATTAATGGTGCAACATATTGTGTACTTATTATTTTTATGAATTATTTGCCTCTCTCTGTTTCAGCTGATTCATGCAGACAGGTGTGGTCCCAGCTGCAGCGGATGTCCAGCCTGCAGATCACTTGAAATAGCAACTGCTTAACAAATTCCACGTTAATCTCTTAAGAAAATTATATTTATATCTATCAATGGCATTTGATTCTTAAGCTGTGGCATAAATTTCCTGTATCAGTCAACCTATTAGCACTCAAGGAATAAAAAATATAACTAAAATTATATTACTTGAGCCATTAAAATAATTTTATATATTTAAGCTTAAAAAAAATATTTACTCATAGGGAAGATGTTGTTTGTGCAAAGAATGTCATGGAATGATAGAAAAATGAGTATTCCTTTTCAAGACAGATGAAAGATGTAAGGTCATTACAGAAATTATACGAGGAAAGTCAGTGTTTTTTCAGACATGTTATAAAAAGGAACGAACTCAAAAACTTATTGATAACAGGCATGTCTGACAAAAAAAAAAGGAGGAGGCAAAGATATAAATAACTGAATGGTTTGGCCAAATGAATGAAACAAGAACACTGACCTGATTCATGATTCTGGTTATCCTGTTAGATAGGGAAGCATGACAGCCTACACTTATTGACTCTACACATAATGATGGTAATGATGATTTTGGTACTGTTGATTGACTGCCAAGACATTGATCCAAGTTCAACCCCTAACAGAGGCATCAGTGTTTTTTTTCATTGTTATGTGTTGTTAGTATTACAGTTCTCGGTTTGATGCTTTCTCAGAAACTGAATACGAAAACATTTTCAAAATTAACTCTTTTAGTCCCAGGGAGCTCTTCATCAGAGACCCAGGGGGTGGCACATCTTACATTCACCGAGCTTCTTGGTAGGAAGCAATGATGCCTTTCTTGGGACTGAAAGAGTTTATTGCAACCAGTTTACTTCATAGGAAGAAAAGGTATATGGTATGACGGTGATCACATTATCCATATGTATGGCAGTTGGTCTGTAACAAATGTGTCTAGAACCATATGCCTGATGTGTCAAAAGTGTGGGAATGGTCCTTGACTTAGTTACTGACTGAATAAAGAGCATGTTGAGACATGTAAGGGACTTTGCCTGCATAAATAGACAATAGTGTGCAAGAGAATACAAGATTAGCTGAGGCAAACACCATCAAGAGATGGATTAGAAGAATCCTGCAAGAATGCACAGTTATGACACAGGGTATGAAGGTTTGGAGACAGAGCAGCCGACCTCCAGACATGGTACTTGATGATGGTTATAAACCCTCCAGTAGGGCATGGTACTTCCTGATGATTATAAATACAATCTTCCGCTAAGCTGGACATGTAGGGTATTGTTGTCATGTAAAACTGTATAAAATCACATGAGAAAACTGTCAGAAAAAAAAAATTTTTTTGAACTTTTTTTGGGGTCAGATTTTTTACACCATGTACTTTTAATTTATTGTACAATTTTTAATTACTTTTTTTTTAAATAAAGAAAACTTTGATGTTATTGTTTTATTTTACACAGTTTGAAATTTCTTAGTTTCCATAGCTCTTTCACTAACAGGCAACTCTTATACATTTAAATTTTTTCTTTAGTTATACATTTGTTTAAATCTATTTCTGGCACTTGCTTTTATGTGTGTGTTTTCTCAACCCGAATGCTCCCATGTTTATGTGTTTCTCAATCCAAATGCTCCTATGTTTGTGTGTTTTCTCAACCCAAATGCTCCTATGTTTATGTGTTTCTCAACCCAAATGCTCCCATGTTTATGTGTTTCTCAACCCAAATGCTCTTTATGTGTTTCTCAACCCAAATGCTCCCATGTTTATGTGTTTCTCAACCCAAATGCTCCCATGCTTATATGTTTCTTAACCCAAATGCTCCCATGCTTATATGTTTCTCAACCCAAATGCTCCTATGTTTATGTGTTTCTCAACCCAAATGCTCCCATGTTTATGTGTTTCTCAACCCAAATGCTCCTATGTTTATGTGTTTCTCAACCCAAATGCTCCTATGTTTTTGTGTTTCTCAACCCACTTTGTCCCAATTGTTACTTCAACTCATACTGCTCCTTGTTGTAGTAATTCCACCCCTTCAGACTAAGAATGCTACTCTGAAGTACACTACACTCTGGGACTAAACATTGTTGAAGCAACAACTGTTTTTTTGGCTACAATAGTATACAGCCTTTTCCTGATGGCCGGTGTGGGTGGGTGGGTTTGACTGAGTTCAAATGAAGTTCCATTGAAAGTTTTCATTCCAGAAAAAAGCATACCATTGTATTTATTTGTTGTCTGTAATTTAAAAAGGAAATGAAGGAAAACGTTAGGGAATATAAAAGATAGACAGAAGCATTGTTGATAGAAAATCACAATTACATTTTTTCACATTAACAAAAAAGATTACAGCTTTGACTTTTGCATTCTAAATTTAACTCTCTGAGCCCCAAGGAGGGCATCATACTTTCATAGGTTCCTACCTAAAGGCCCAGTGGACACATGATGTGCCGATTTTACGTGTCTCTTGACTACCCCTTGGGCCTCTGATTCTAAATGCCCTGGGACTCAAAAAGTTAAACAGAAAAGACAAACAGTAGATTCAACAATTGTTTGCCAGTCATATTTTGCTTTACTTCATTGTGGACATACTAAAGTACCAACTGAATCAAATAAAAATTGGTAGATGAATCCTTTCAACTGAAATACAAAACCAGCAACACTCAAAAACAATATCCTCTATTTCAGCTGAAGATATTTATTTTGTTGTTGTTTCATTTGATTTAGTTGTTCCTGGCAAGATACAGTACTGTGAAATCATTTTGTTTTTGTCTACTCTGTTAAGATACAAATTAAGATGAAAGTTATGCAGACAATCAATAAATGCAACAAGTTGTACATGTGTATGCCCATGTGGGATCTATGATTATATTTTAAAAGGAAAAAATGAGTAGACCCATTATTCCATCACCTCCTCCCCTAACCCCTTCAAACCCCCCCCCCCCCCCCCCCCCCCCCCCTTCCTCCCCAAGGATGTGGTAAAAAGCAGCCAATGAAGATTTTTGCTAAAATCAGATGTTTTGAGCCAAAAGGTGAGGACATCACACTCTAGCTGTAAACCACAGCAAAACATGCCATCTAGACTTTTGAGGGAATTTGCAGTAGAAAAAAGAATTACACTCACTTAATGGAAACAATATTTGCAAGTACTTTAATGTTTATCTCTTTTTATTAAATGTTTCTTATGTATTATGGCTGTTTGGCAGCATGGATGTTGGATGATATATTCTTGACTGCAATGCACCTGAGTTGTTTTCTGTGTATACAATAGTGCCAGTTATTCGTGTATATTTTAGAAAATATAGTTATAATAACATTTTCGTATAAATATGCAGTTCCACTTTTTGGTTTAGATTCTAAGTAGCACAGTCGAAGCCAAAAAACTGGAAGCACAACCAGAATGATACACATGTGAAACTGTACCCTCATCCTATGATTAGGACCCAGATATGTAAAGATCTACAATGTAACACACACAGCTAGAGGAACTAAGCTACTTTCTTAACATCAGTGCTATTTTTACATTTTTACAGTCACAAACTTTTCCTCAGAACTTGAGGATTGATTTACATTGGAGTATGTCTCTGCCAAATTCAGTTCATTCATTCATTTACTGTCCCATCGTGGCATTATGTGTCCCATAGGGCTTGCAGTCTATTTTTCCATTCCGTTCTATTGTTTACTAGAATAACATCCTTTCCTGCAAGTTTCTAAAACAAAACTTCTTTTAAAACAAAGTAAGGGATTTTGTCCCATGCCTAACCCTCCTTCTTTCTCATCCAGGCTTGGGACTGGCAGTGGTGGATATGCAAAATTCAGTGCTAGTATTAAATTAAATGAGTGTCCATGTGCCTGCTGTTATTGCAAATTACTTTCTAGCTGCAGTTTGGTTCCTAATTATGAAGATCTAAACCATATTTGATACATGTGTACATGGGAGCCACAGTGGCTCAGCAGCTAGATACCTGCCTGCTAGCCTCAAAGTCCTGGGTTTCAGTCCCCATTGAGACTTAATTTCTTCTAAATTTATCTTCGTTTCCCAGCTTGATCTAGTCTTAAATTTGTACCAGGTATTGTCCTGGGAAGTAAAGGCATCTGGCATGATGGGCATCATATGCTGGATGCCCCAGTGACATAAAAATAGGTTCCTTTACTTGTATTTGAGACATGTGTAAATGTAATGAACTTCACTCACATTGAGAGGTATCCTTTCTTCCTTTCTTCCTGCTGCCATCTTGTGTATTTTCAAAATGTCTGAATTTGTCTTTTTTTTTTTAGTCATCTGCAATTCCAAATCCGAAAACGTTTCTTAGTTAAAACTGGTTACCCATTTGTAGGAAAGTAGAAGCTATGACATCATCATGACATGCCATACTGATAAACATTATTCTACTTTGCCATCTCCCATGACCACTTGAATTATGTATCAAGTTTGTGTTATCCTATATTGCTCAGTGTCTCTCTGTAGAATGGCTAGTCCTCTGCCGAGAGTGTCACATAAAGTCCAAAGTTTGGAGCTCCAGCAACAGTTCACAGGCATATCTATAAAAAATGCACTTGTGAACTGAAATAAGCCTATGACCTTTAGAATGTGAGGCAAATGGCTTGACCATCTCACAGCAGGGACTTCCTGTTGGACCTGTGTTCTTGATTCATTCCTATTTGACCACCTCACAGCAGGGACACCCTGTTAGACCTGTGTTCTTGATTCATTCCTACTTGACCACCTCACAGCAGAGACTCCCTGTTAGACCTGAGTTCTTGATTCATTCCTACCATGTGCACTTTTTATATCAAGTTTCCAAGCTGTCACTAAGTTTTCAAGTTTATTTCTCCTGATAACATGCTCATAAAATCTTGACTGTCTGATCTGTTTTATGTAATCAGTTTACAGTTTTCATCTGCTCTTGGAGGTCTGTCGCATTTGTATTCTTTTTGTATCCATGTAATTATTCACATTTCCCTCAGAAATTGCATATCACTGCTTACATAATTTGAAATCATACACATCAAGGATCTATTATTTAATCAGATCTTATTATCAAGAAAAATAT